ACTCAGTTCCCCAAGGGCCTGGATCTTCATTATGCGAAGGAGCTGAGGACTAAGTCTGGGGTGGATAAGTACTCAGGCCCTCCTACTAAACCCTTATAAGTTACAATGCCATTCTCTTTTGGTAACTCTTATTGGGACTTTCCGAAAATAAGCCTAGTCTAGCAGCCTAGATGGTAGGATCCACATCATAACGGGGTAAGGTACCCCTAACTTTCGGTAACTGCCTTGTCGTACCTGCTCTAGACCGCCTTGCTAAGGACTCCCTATATCCTGAACCCCGAAAACCCTAAACCCAAAAACACAACACCCTCAACCCTTTACCCCGAAACCCCAAAACCTTGAGACCCCTAACCCCCGAACCCTAAACCGTGACTCCATTACGTATCACGGAGCTGCAAACAAGCACACGCCGGAACGTTTCAGAGTCGACTGCGGCCCCGGACGGACGAGGAAATCGATCGAGAAGTCCTGCTGCCAAGGGTTTAGGGTTAAGGATTCTTGGTTTAGGGGTTTAGTTTCTGTTGTTTAAGGAGTTGGGTTTGGGGGTTTAGGGGTTTAGGGGTTTAGGGTTTGCCAGGTTTTTGGGTTTTGGGCCTAGGTATGCCTGAGAGATTGGCATCGGACCCCCGAAAGACCCCACTTTCAGGAGAGAAAGTTCATCAAAGCACTTGCGGCTTGCGATGGCAATTTAGGAAACCCTGATCCCTAAACTCAAAACTCAGAAACCCTAAACCCTAAGCCCCCGAAGCCCGAAAAGCCTAAGACCCTAAACCCTGACTTCGGAGCAGTAATATACGGGCCATAATAATTAGAATAGGCTTTGGGGGCCCATTATACTATACTCATAATAATAATAATAGTAATAATAATAATAATAACAATAAGAATAAGGAACCCTCAAGATAGTATTTCCTTCTTCTTCTTCTGCGGACTTTGGGGCCCCGGAGGGGCGCGTCCATGAATTCGTTATCAAGATAGTACTGGTAATTATTTGGGCCCCTACTAAAGGGATCTATCGGCTTCCTTTGGAGGGATCTATAGGGTTTAGGGTTTAGGGTCTATGATTTGGGCCCCTGTAGTAGCGAGTCTGGAGGCTCCATTACTTAGAGGATCATGGGACTTAATTAGCAAGTAGGTTATAATTGGGGTGATAAGTCCCCTAAGTGGGGTTATCCTAAATATAACCTACCTATAACCTTACTTACTAAGTCCCATGAGCCTTCAAGTACGGGCCCCTTTTTAGGTGCCCCAGATAGTGCGGGACCCTTCTTATGCAAGAGGACCCTAGAAGGGACCCTAGTTTAGGGAACTACCCATGTGACTGTATAATATGTACTTGGATTCCTAGGTAGGAACCCCCTTGAGGCAGAAGTACCTGCAACAAAGGCACATGCATGCTGATTGTGGTGGGGGGCCTGAAGATTTCAGATCCCAAAATAGCGATAGAGCTTCCTCGCTGTAGAGTTCACGGTTTAGCGTTAAGGCTTCAGGGTCGCGTTGGTGGTCACATGCCGAGCAAGCCCTAGGTACTTGGTTGCCAAGGGAAAATCCCCGTAATAGTCAGGGTACCCAGTTTTCCTGCTATTCAGGCTTTTTTAAATAAGGAAGTCCAACATGAAAGGCCAAACACCATAAATCGCTTTAGCCCAAAATGACTTTCGGTTATTTCTTATACTATCTTAGGCTTGCAGTGTCCTTCTACGAATGAACATGATACAACCGTCTACATCTAGTAGTTCCTGGAAACAACCCAGAGAGGGAACTACCGGGGAACTCAGGAGTATCGGTTACCGATATCATTTGTACGAGTTGTATAGGATTGCACACCGGGGCGTTAGTCAGTCGTTCGACCGGAGTTTTGCCGTGTTTTCGGAACAGCTCCGCGGGTGCAAACATTGAGCGTCATGCTGCTCCGTCGCTGCATCGACAACGGAAGCAAAAGAGCTTACAACATTTGCAATCCGAAGCTCATCCAAGCTCGGGTGCTTGGTATGATTGCATCGGATGCGTAGGTGGAAAATGACAACATTGAAGTTCTGGTATTCAGAAATGATTGGGTATTGGTCGACATGAGCTACCATGAATTCCGAATTTTAAATTCCCGAATTGGAGGGCATACGTGAAGGCTGGGACTCAGTAAGTAAGGCTATTAGTAGGTTAGAATTCGGATAACCCCACTTAGGGGAGTTATAACCCCAACTATAAGTTACTTACTAAGTCGCATGATCCTTTAAGTACATGCATTTGCCCAGAAGTCGGGGTTACAGCACACCATGCCATGTCAGCTTGGCTCGGGTTGGAGGTTTGGGTTTACGTAGGGTTTAGGGTTTATAAGGGTTCAAGGAGTAGCTCAACATTCCATGATATGGGTGTCGGTAGTAATACACGCTTGGTTTCAGACAGCATCCTCACGGCGTAGTAGATGATATGCATTTATGCTTGTTCGGTCTTCCGTGTCGACCTCAGGGCGCAATTTCTGCTCAGCAAGTACATCGAAAGGCTTTGGGCGATTGTATTAATATCATAGTATTCGTATCACCAGTTTGCCCGCGTGCCCCCCCCATTCAACAGCTGGAAGATGGACCTGGCCGCCTCGCGGCCACGAGAAACTCGTGGGCGGCAAGCTGGGTCATACATCTTCTGCTGCCTGAATTCCCTGAATTACGAATTCTTGCGAACTCATTGCAGCATGCAGGCATGCAGTCGCGCAATGTCCAGGTCAGAGGGCTCTTCAGCCCGAACCTGCTACTGGCTTAAGTTGTGGCTGTCCTTCTTCCTACTGCTGATGTCACGATTCCTTGTTTCATAAGCAATCATGGGCAGGTGCAGATCCAAGAGTATCTTTCAGACCATTGCATGGCCGTGCCGGCAAAGCAAATGTGCCGTGCAGCGCAGCCGAAAGGAGCATAGCAAGTGGCTCTAAAAGTGCCACGCAAAAGAGTTCGCACCCAGCTCGCGACAGTCCGCAGCACTTACGCTCTTGGTCCGACAGGACCTACCTTACCCCCAAGTAACCTACCTTTTTAACGTCTTGTATAAAGAAATCATATTACGGAACCCTAAAAAGGCAGGTTCCTTAGGGTCCAGGTAAAGTTTAGCCAAGAGCCGCTGCTAAGCTCCCAAGCCGACAACCCGAGGCCCCAAGAGCCCGATAGGAGGAGCCTTAATAATTAGGGTTTAAGGTTTAGGGTTAAGGGTTTTAGGGTTTAGGGTTTAGGGGTTTAGGGGTTTAGGGTTTAGGGTTTCGGGAATAGTGTTTTGGTGGGTTCCCTGCTATATAATTATAAGCTGAAGAATCAGGATAGTGTTTTGGGGGTTCATTGTTAAATAGCTAATTAGTAGTAGTAGTAGTAGTAGTAGTAGTAGTAGTAGTAGTAGTAGTAGTAGTAGTAGTAGTAGTACTAGTAGTAGTAGTAATAGCCGAAGAACCCGCAGCAGAAGCAGCAGCAGCGCAGTAGCGGTAGCCAGTAGCGGTTGCATTCGCAGTAACAGGAGCAGGAGGAGGAGGAGGAGGAGGAGGAGGAGGAGGAGGAGGAGGAGCTGAGGAGCGGTAGCATTAGCAACAGCAGCAGGAGCTGTTGCCACGAGAATCCGGCCTGTTCGTTAAAGCAACATGCGAAACTGCTGGCCGTCTACCCTGACCAAAAGCAGCCAGAACCCTGAATTTTCCGCCTAAAACCCTCATAATGGGGCTTTAATAGTAAGAATAGGGTTTTGGGGCCTATGCTGAATAAACCATCGGCAGAGCTGTTGCAATGCGAACCTTGCACAACGAAACTCCTCGCCAAGCCTCTAGGAGCAAGGAGACTTTCGCTTTCGGATCAGATGCCCTCGGCCTTCTACCCTTTATTAGTACTGAAGGGCTCCTTAAAGGGTTTAGGGTTTAGGGATCTATAATATAAGGGTTCTACAGGGGTAGTTTGGGTTAATATTATAGTATTCTAGACCTAAGAGTAACCTAGGAATAAAAAGGGTGCCCTTTTTGGTTTAAAGGTGGTTATCAGGGAACCTAAATCCTAAAAAAGGGAATAAGGGCCTACTCTGGGTCCTAGTTATTTACAGGGTATCCCCTATAAGCATATGCTCAAGACCACACAGGCAGTGTTGTGTAGAAAACATAAGTGGAACTATCCTAGGTTGGCCCTTTAAAGTCTCTGAAAAATCTTCGTAAATAGGGTCCTATTAAGCCCAATGAGGGAAAATAGAAAACACCCCAAAGGCCTACCTAGGATCTTACTTTGTGCTCCGACCTACTTACCGAAACGCTTGATCCTCAGTCGAACCTATGGTACATGTTTTGCTGGTAACCTCTGGCGACCATCAACAATGGCAACTGTGGTGGTGCTGGTGCTGAGCCTGTACTTGGCAGTCACAGCCACGAGTAGTAATGGTGGTCATAGCAAGTAAAGTTGCAATGACAGCCTCTCTGTGAACCCCCCGACTTCGGAACTGAGGCACCTGATCAGGGAGAAACCACGCAGCGCTGATCTTGAGAGAGTCAAGAGAAGGATCACTTTCGAGCTTGGGTGAAGTCTTTAAATTAGGGGCTTAATCCTCGCGAAAGGACGTCCCAGCGTCCATAAGGGTCAAGGGGTAAAGCCTTCCGGATTTAGGTCGTTTAGGGTGTAGCGTCCTTGGTTTTAAGCGCCCAATTATTGTCTTAAATGTTTACGGCTCAGGGTCTTGGAATTGGGCTTAACGATCAGTGTGCTGAAGGCTTCGAACCACCTTTAAGGCCTCTGCACAGGCTCTGACTCTTTGCAAAGACCTAAATGCTTAATCTAGGGCTTTAGGCCTTTGAAACAAAGTACATGTGTTACTGAACTCGGTTGGTTAGAGCTACCCACTGTTCTGGCCCTCATACTCGGCCATTTCTCGCATTCTCGGAATATGTTGGAGCATAGCATAGCCTCTACACGGTAGGATCCTGAGCACAAAGGGCCCCATTCTACGGTAGCCTATTTGCTTTTAAGATCCTGACTGCACTCTGCAGATCGCGCTCACCACCGGAGCTTGCCGTCCAAATTGTACTTCTTGAGGAGGGACCTTTGACGGGCTTGGGGGAGGCTTCAGGGTTTAGGGTGTAGGTTTTAGCAGGGATTCAATCATGCGTATTGTCTTAGTGCTTCCAAGCCTCTTCTGGTAGCCAGTCCATTTGTCACGGCATCGACTCCCCTAAACCCTAAACCCTAAACCGCAAAGGTTCTTGGGTTCTGAGTTTCCAGTTTTCCTGGCATTTGGGCTTAGTGACTTAGTGGTGTCAAGGCCCAGGGATGGCACGTTCAAATGTCCAAGTACTTAGAGGATCATGGGACTTAGAAAGTAGGTTATAATTTGGGTTGTAAGTCCCCTAAGTGGGGTTATCCTAATTATAACCTACTTATAACCTTAGTTACTAAGTCCCATGAGCCTTCAAGTAAAGACCGAAGCCCGAACCAGACCGAGAGGCTCATTACCCTACCCCCGATTTTTAGGATACCTAGATTCATGGTTAGGATCTGTTATCTTCAAAAGTAGGCGCCCTAAAACAGGGGTAGGGTATGAGCCTCTAAGGACCTCAAACCCCGTGAGGCCTGGAAACTTTAAAAGCCTTCAGCTCCAGTCCTCGAGTGGTTCAGCTTTAGGATCTCTTGGGCTTTAAAGGGAACTCCAAAAAGTTGGAATATGGTTTTAGGGTAGGATACCTTACAATTTACCATAAAGGGTGTGGGATAACCATATTCCAACTTTCTGGCTTTTGCTTTAAGTTTTGAGCTTATAGAGTTCACTGCAGACAAAGTATAAGGCCGTACGCCTGGAAGCTGTAGAGATTCAACAACCGCTACTTTCGTGCATCTGATGCCCTGAACATGGCGAAACCAGTACATGAAAGAATAAGTGCATTCACATGGGCTGACCTGGCCGTGGGCGGTTCCCTGCGACTGGAGTCCCTACTCAGGGCTTACGGTCCTCATTTTGTAAACATGGCGTGCGTTTTCCGCTGGGGCCATTAGAGGGAACCTACCTGTTGAGGACTCTCCATTTCCATAATCAGACTTCCCGACCGTCAGTATGGTGGTAATCCGGACAGGCAAAACCAAAATCCATCCTAGCTGTCCTAGTTGCTTAGTTTCGTGGCTCCCACGTCTTCAGGCCTGCGAGAACGTGACACTGGGCTCCTCAGTAGCTACCTTCTTGCGATTGTTCACTGGGTGGCACTTTCAACAGTCCCCAACACCATTTATGATTAGGGCGCTAAATAAAACAATGAGCCAATTAAACATAACCCCGAAGCGATACCTAGTTCAGCTTTGGAAGGAACCCCACAGCAACCGGAACAATGGGTACTGGTCAACGCAGGACCACCATGACCTGATCCAGAATCTTGCTGTAGTCTTGGTACCAGAACCATTCGAAATAATAGCGCTGACATGCGCTGAGTATAGACACAGGAGTGAGATTTATGCAACCGCAGTACTCATTTCAACAAGCACTCATGACGGTAAAAAAAGAGTCAAGATAATGATACCCTGGCCCCTGCAAAATCCATCTCTGAATTCCATTCAAGCCCGAGATGCGCATAGTATGGCTTGAGCTTCTCCTTGGACCGGTTTTGGGTCTGACCCGACACGCTTGGTTTGCTACAGACTTTGCTTATCCCAAAGGGTCCTATGTACGGTTATAGGAAATACTTCCCCAAATCATAATAGTAATTCCTAATATAGAAACCCTACATTCTTCTATATCGGTACTTTGGACCCTTTGGGTATTGCTGTGTATACTCTTCGGGCTGCTTGGTTTGAAAGGGGTGGGAGGGGATCAGGTTCAGAGTTCTGAGTCGGGAGGGGAGGGGGAGGAATTCTGGTCCGGTTCTACTATGTCGGCATCGGCCTTTCGAGGTTGCTACCAGGCATCATTCCATCGCTTGTCCTTGTCTACGCACCAAGAATCACGCAACGCTAGATTTTTGCTTTAGTTTCACGATCTTGTTTGAGAAAAGGCAAATATGTATCGTAAGCTTGTGTAGCTTAGCCTGGTTGGAGTTTTGTATGGTTGGTTTGTCCATCTAGATTTATGCGGATATAGCTTATATAACATGTGTCTGGCTGCCTGGATGGATGGACCCTAACCTAAACCCAAAAGCCCTACAGTAAACCCTAAACCCTGAACCCCAAACCCCTAAACCGCTAAACGCTAGTCCCAGCCGGACGCCTGAGGGGCCGATGCACGAAACCTGCTTCTGAACCAAGACAGGCACATGAGTAGTGCTTCGGCTAGGGATATCCCACATAAGCCCGCTTGTACTGAAGCCCCATATGGCCAAACCCTAAACCCTAAACCCCGGGATATCCCTGAAGAATCCTTCCGGGCCCCTGAATACGAACCCCTGCTCCGAGGCACCATATCCGGCACGGCATCCGCCTTCGAATAAAGGTCGAACTTGTTGAACTCCTGTTCGGGGGCTTTAGAAGGGTCTCGTACTAACTCTACACCCTAAAACCGGGGTTCTACTGTAGACCCTTATAGAGCCCTTGAAGGTACCCTGTAAGTACCCCCAAAAGGTGCCTAAACCCTAAACTCCAAGGGTAAAAGGAGGGACCCTTACTAGGACCCCTAGGTATGTACCGTTATATACCCTTAATATAGCTATTATACACCCATTATATAGCCCATTATAGGGTAGGGGTCCCCATTAAGGGTCTCTCCTTGTCCCCTTTGATAAACTCTAAAACCCTAAACCCTAAACTCTAAAGACTCTGAACCGAAAACCCTAAACTCTAAACCGTTCTTTGCGGTCCAGGCGGGTCCTTCACCCACTTCTTCGTCTCGGCATCTTCGGGGCTTTCGAACTGGCGATAGGCCCCCTTGTCCTCGGTACTTGTCAGCAGCTTGGGAAATGTAGAGGCTCCTTTAAAGGGTTCTTTAAAGGGTCTATCGGGCAAAAGCTAGGCGGATAACAAGGTTTTGGGATTCGGAGTGTACGGTTTAGGAGTTTAGGACTCAGGGGTTTGACCGTTCTTGGTTGTACATCACGAAACTATCGTTCGAAGCCATGTTAGGGCTTGTAACCCCACTTGCTACTATCCATGAACCTCCAATCAAGACTAGCAGCAGCAGCAGCAGCAGCAGCAGCAGCAGCAGCAGCAACAGGTCCTACAACAGCCGTCGCGCGTCTACGACGCCATCGGTTGGGACGACTGCCACATCACATGGCCCTCCAGCCGAAACTCAAAACGCTAAACCCAAAACCTTCAGCCCCTAAACTTGCCAGCCTTCAGAGGAGCATTGCTAGAACCCTGCAGAAGCTTGTGCTGGAACCGTGGGCAACCCTTGCAGAGCCGTTCCCAAGCGATCGGTGCCAAGGATCATGCCAAGGGTAGAAGGAGTGGAGGCGGATCATGTTCAAGCCATGCTCAGGGATGGTGCAGCCATTGAACTTCAGCATCTGGTACATGTACCTGGGTCTAAAGTTCAGGGTTTCTGGTCTTAGGGTTGTAGAGCCGGCTACAACTAAGGGACAGGTGATTTAAGGGTTATTGAATTAGCATTTGGCTCTCCGGCTGAGGCTTTAGGGCAGTTCCAGAGTTAAGGTTGAAGGAGGCAGCCCAAGACTAGACCTAAGAGTAGCCTAGGAATAAAAAGGGTGCCCTTTTTGGGTTAAAGGGGGCTCATAAGGGAACCTAAACCCTAAAAAAGGGAATAAGGGCCTACTCTGGGTCCTAGAAGACCAAAACTCACAACAACGATCCTGGTACTCAGGGACAAGTCAACAGCCACTGGGGCTTTGGACACTAATTAAGTTGGGATCGAGCGAGCGGTGGAAGCCATCAACTGCAAATCATGTGCGGCTGTACTGCCTCTGGTACTCTCGGGGCCTTGCTCGAGAAAGCATGCTGGACATGAGTGCAGAAAAGGGAGCGGAACACAAACACATCGTAATCGAAGGACATGTGGGGTTTAGGGATAGGTCGTAGCTGCATGGTGCATGTGGGTCGCCCGAGGTTCAGGGGTTTAGGGTTTAAGAGGTTTGCAGGCTTTTCGTGCTTAGGTTTTGGGGTTTCGGGTTTAGGGGTACTCCCCCAGCGCCAATAAAGCAATCTAACGGCAGGATCATGGAACCAACTCCAACAACCAGCTCACCCACTCAACTACGAAGTGCTGGCGGGCAGAAGTACCTAGCGTCGTTACATGTTCATTCCTGGCTGGTCTGGGTTTCTTAGGCCTTCGGTTTTTTCGGAGACGAGTCTGTATGCGACCCGTCTAACAAGCCTCAGAGGCTCTGTTGTCTTTGGGGGTGGGTGGGTAGGGGTCTTAGTAGTGAGAACAGGGTCTTGGGTTTATACTACAGTTACAGTAAGGAACCCCCACAATAGTATAGGTAATTATTCATGCCCCTATAGTAGGGACTTTCAGGAAAACACATGTAGTCACACATGTGGATTTTCAGCCTGGGGCCCTCGCGCCACAGCCTGGGGCCCTCGCGCCAAAGGTCCAACTGCTCACCGCAAACCCTCCAGCCTAAATCTCGGACCCCCCCAGGCGAAACTCCTGACCCTGAAGCCAAAATCCTAACCCCCAAACTCTATTCTAATCATGATGGGCCCCTATGTCGTAGAACCTTCATAGTAACCCTTAAAAGATCCCTCAAACGAACCCGAATACGAAAGACCTGCACCCTGATTTCGGACGAGTGTCTCGTCGTGGCCCCAGGAGAACATGAGCTTCGTGATGCCGCAGCCCGGTTGGTACATTCCGTTCCTTAATAATGAGAACGGGGTTCCATGAAAGGGGTCTACAAAGATTACCATAAGGGATCCTAGTTCAGGGCTTAGAGTTGGAGGGTTTAGGGCTTAGGGAGTCGGGTTTCAGGATTTGGGCTGAGGATATTTTAGGGAATTTTAGGGTTTCCTATGAGTTCCTGCAATCTCCGCGCATGCTCACGGGTTTCTTGCGTTGTTGAGCCGAACTTGCTAACAACAGACTGCAGCTCGTGCTTCAGTTCGACGTTGCGCTGTGCATCAAATCGTGTTTCTCAAGGGCTCAACAGGCCGTCTACAATGTGAGTCTTGCCGGCAATCACGTTACGTACATACGTTTACAGTTTGCACATGGAAACATACAGACATACAGACAGACATGCAGACAAGCAAACATGCAGGCAGACAGACACCAACACAGGAAGGCATGAAGGCAGGCAGGCAGGCCGGCACGCAGACAGACACGTACACATGTGTACAAGCACATGTAAATATACATGTGCATAAATGTGAAAAACGCATACACTTATACATGGACATATACCTTGTGGTTGCCGAGCATCTTCGTGCCAAAGACCGGGTGGGCATAGTCCGGATTCTCGCGGAATGCCTGCAGGCACGACAGGACAGTCAGGGCAAGCTGATGCAGGCAGATGCCACCACAAGTTCATCCCTGCAAAGTGGTGACACAGCTCTCCAGGCGCAAACCTTCCTAAACCCTTTCTTACACGCCCATGAAGACTCCCCGGTCTACCGTCGAGCTCGGAACCCTTGTCCGGCGTCCGTCTTATGGGTAGATTCACGATTCCTACTACTACCGTGCTGTGTTTCCGTATCTTACTTTTTGGACTGACATTCCTAAGCAGCCCTGAAAACTACAACCCGGACGCCAACCCACACCTCAAACCCTAAACCGCAGACCCTGAAGTGTAAGCTTTCTTTGGGCAGACTTCCGGACTCTGCCTCTGGGCCTTTAAGTAACCAGGGAGAAACAAGGTATAAACTTGTGCTTCATAATGGTTCCTTTAAGAAAGAAGTACTAAAGTTTGGTACTCCAAGTCCCAGGCCTCTATCTAATGTTATAATATATACCTTTCAGGCCCAAATACCTACTATAATGTATCTAGAGATAGTAGTATATACCTGTCAGGCCCAAGTACCTACTATTTATAATTATAATGGTACATGGACCCTTTGGCTGAACAGACTTCCGGACTCTGCCTCATATAGTATATACCTTTGATTTGAGGCCCAAATACCTATATACTACCTACTATAATGGTTCTTGGACCCTTTGGGTGAACCGGACTCTGCCTCAGGAAAGACGATAGCATCCTCGTCTGGGGCGCAGCCGACGGGAAAGGTGTCTCCAACCACGGCCCACTGCGGCAACGTGTCCTTCTCAGATTCTAAGGGCCCAGATCCACGGGTAAAAGGAGGGACCCTGAATAAGGACTATATACCCTTAATATAGCTATTAGGGTAGGGGTCCCCATTAAGGGTCCCTCCTTTTCCCCTTTGACATGTACCCAAATAGTACAAACCATAAGGTACCTTGGGGGCCATAGTATACACTATTTGGGAACATGGAATCTTAGGGTCAGATTCTCTGGTTGGTGGTTGCCTTTGCGTTTTTGCTGCGTGTGGTCCTTTGCTTCTTGTGTTTAGGGTTTTAGGGTTGTCAGCTTCAGGAAAGGTCAGGCTTTAAGGCTTTGAGGCCTCGGGGCTTTGAGGGCTAAGTTATCAGGCATGCTACATATACATATGTAAATAAATATACATATATATATATATGTATACACATGAAATATTTGTATATTGCATATCTATTTACATATGTACACTTTCCTGTTTATGGGGTGACCTCGAATTGCTTGGGGCGTCATGAGAATGTAAACATCAGACTATAAGTGGCACGTAGGGAAAGAGTAGTGGTGCAATCTAAACCAGGTAAACACCTTGAAGCTAGATTCCAGAAATTCGCAATACCTGCAATCAGCCTAAACCATGAGCCTCAAACCCTTAGCCCTGAATGTCCCAAGCCTGTAACTCAAAGCTCGTCATTCGCGGTGTGAGACCTGGGTTCGGTCAACTGGCCTCGTGTTTTACGCTGTGTGGTTTAGGGGTTTAGGGTTAAGGGTTTAAGGCCGAAATCATAGAGCTTGCAGCTGTCATTTCTCCCGCATTTGGCTGCAAGCCCCAAATCCCTGTAGTTTGTTGGCTCCTTTTTCTCAGGCGTCAGCCCGAAATTTAAATTTAGATGCTTTATGCACAGAAACCATAATAAGGAACCTGAAAAAGGTTGGTTGTTTGTAGGCATTCATGCATTTTCAGGCTTCTTTTCTCTGAGGCTCAAGACATGTAAGCGTCTACTTGGTGGTTCAGGGGTAGTTGTAAGTGGGAGCTATAAGTTCCCCAATATGGGTTATAAGCACATGCAAGGCATCGAGACCTCGGGGGATGAGAGGGCTGATGGGCTTGGGGTTTAGGGTTTAGGGTTTAAACGCCTTTCGGGCTCAGGGTTTGGGGTTTAGCGATTGGCTCAAAGAATATAATTAACATGTAGGAGTGATTCAAGTCCAAAAGCCTGGGTCCAACTGTAAGCTCATGTGCCTCGCTTCTTTCAGAACGGGTCCGCAGATGCCATAAGCATAACATTGGAAGCCTAACCCAATACCTGCAGGACGCGTTGCCTTTAAGTCGAAATCTCATGATGTACGGACCTGATTAAGCAACCCCGGGCCTATAATCCCAAAATGGTAGGATCCATATAAGGAGCCCTAATGAAGGCTCAAGGTTTCTTAATCAGGTTCCTGCACTAGCTGGGCAAGTCAATCTCCTTGCCCGCCATCTTCGGCAAGGCCATGACCTCAGAGATGATTCAGTACCGATTTAGGGATCCAGAAGGGTTCCTTTAAAGGGATCCACAAGGGTTCCATAAGGGATATATGGTTTAGAGAACGTAAGACGTGAGTTTCAGTAAGGGGCGTTTCTTTTGCGGACTATTTTACCGATATGATAAGATATGATAAGGAGCCCTAAGAACAACGATTGGCAACTTCATGTATCTTCCGTATTTACGCTAGGGAACCCCGAGAAACTCAGGTTTCTATTGTTTGTTTCTATAGTAAACCTACAAGCTGAAACCCCTTTCTCCACAGGCACTGGCCTGTCTGTCGTGCCACCACTAGTGAAACAAAGTGGCTTTACCCAAAGGCCCCAAAGTAGTTCCTTGTTGGGGGTTTCATATAGAGAATCCTATAAGGTAATCTCAAAAAGGAACTATCCTATAAGGTAGTCCCAAAAAGGAACTACTATGGGGCCTCCGGGTAGGCTTCAAAATGCGCAAACCTTCGTCCTAGCGCGTGGCAAGCACGGGCCTGGATTGCACATCATGCAACATATGGGTGGTTGTCAAAGTTAAGGTCCCTTTTTGGGTACCCTAAATATTAGGTGCCGTATTATGGTAAGGATCGCAAAAGGGGCCCTAATATTTACAACCACCCATATGTTGCATATGAGTATTTGTTGAAACAAAGTTGATGGTCCGGAAACGACTCGAAATGAAGAGCCTGGCTGAGGACGGCATGTAACTCTCAAGATCTCAATTTTCAAACCTGAAGACTTAAACCCTGAAGCATGAGACACCAAAGACCTGTACGTAATCCCACAGTGAACCGGGTGGCTTTGCCAAGGTCGTGCAGGAGCCCCACCAGATGAAACCAATCGTACTCCTGGCACGCTTGTGGCATGTCCGGTTGAGGAGCCTAGGACTCAAGCCTAGGACTCATACAATAGATGGAGGCTTTGATAGGTTTTGGTGTATTTTATGCCATGCAAAAGATACGGTCGGCACTAACGAGTAGTGTTGGTAGGAATTCAGGCTTCTAGCATAGGGTTCGGGCTTAAGCAACAGGTCTTGAGCATGGGCTGGTTCAGAGTCTTGCAGGGTTCAGGGGGAGCTTTCCGACTGGTGCTGCTTGTACTACAAACAACATGAGACTGACAAAACTACGCAACACTGAATGAACAGTTTGAGCGACAAAGGCAAACGATAAAAACCTGTTTATCCGTATATACATCAGCAAATGGACAGGTTGAACGATAAAGGCAAACGGGCAATGCTAGCAAAGACGACGAGCCATGTTTAATCAAAACCGGCCACCTTTCTGCAGCATTGGGAAACCCGGTACCCCCCCCAGCTGCTGAAACAAGTGGCTGCAGCTACCTCGGAAAGCCTTACGGTCCCAGTCATGCTTAGAGTCGACACTCCGAACCCAAGCACCTTACGCGCTGACTGCCTTGTTTAGAGAGAGTGCACTGACCCTCTCTCACAGGCAATGCAGGTCTGGGGCCTGCCTCGAAAAGAGGCTTACACGTGCTGACGAGTTGCTTTAGGGTTTAAGATCATTGTTGGGGACATCTGGTATCTTCTTTATCTCTCTTTTTCTCTGGCGTTGTGTTCTCGGTGTTTGTCTGGTCTGTCGATCGATCTCGCTGCTCTCTCTCCCTCTCTCTCTCTCTCTCTCTCTCTCTCTCTCTCTCTTTCTCTCTCTCTCTCTCTCTATCTCTCTCTCTCTCTCTCTCTCCCTCCCTCTTTCCGACCCTACACCTAAGACTAAGCCTAAACCCTTTCCACTCTGCCCTGAACTCTAAACTCTGAACCTAAACGAAGCGCAAACCCTTCCAGAAAATGTGGCCGTGCCCTTTAAATGTTGAGTATGCTGAGTATGGTTCCTAAACCCACACTCGGCATGCTAAGTCCCAAGCCCTGTATCCTGAAACGAATTCTTAAACCCCAAAGCCCCAAATCCAACCGCCTTATAGGTCCTGAGCCCAAAACCCAAAGCCGCAAATTGACCGCAACCCTGAAATGCTTGGGTCAAACACACTAAACATGCTGAGCCCTAAAGGCTAGACCCTTCAACCCCTAAACAGCTGTCAAACGTCAAAGGAACTCTAAACCCTTAAACACTAAACCCTAACCCCGAACACTACTGTAAACCCTGAATCCCCAAATGTCAAAGGAACTCTAAATCCTGAAACACTAAACCCCAAGCCCCAAACATTAAACCCTTAAGCACTAAACCCCTAAGCCCCAAACCCCTAAACCCCGAAACCCCTAAACACTGAGCCACTCGGAGCCCTGAGTCCCAACAAGGCGGAGCTCGAGCCTCCCCCGGCCACTGCTCACGAATTCTCTCGGCAGTCTGGAAGTCGTGAATGCCTCGAAGACTACGAAGCTAAAAGACTATGAAGCCAAGGGGGAAAGGAGGGACCCTCAATAAGGACCCCTAGGTAATGTAGCCCTTAATATATCATATACCCATTATATAGCCCATTATAGGGTAGGGGCCCCATTAAGGGTCCCTCCTTTTCCCCTTTGATATGAAGCTAAGAAGACTATGAACCCAAAGGGTCCTAGGTACTGTTATGGGGGATACTTTCCCAAATTATAATAGTAATTCCTAATATAGAAACCTGACATTCGACTATAAAGGTACTTTGGACCCTTTGCGGAAGCTAACTATAGTCTGCATTGTGAGGCTTCGTTGAGACCAGCTGTATGTGTAGGATCCTACAAGGCAACCCAAAGAATATGCCATTCAGGGCGTCTCAGGGATCTAGAAGGATTCTGAAAGACTGACTGTAATAAGCTAAAGGGATATTATAAAGCTATTACTAGCTAGTCAGACCTTTATACCCGTGAAGCATCGCGGGGTGTTTGTTTGGGAATTAATTAGAGGTTGCAGGGTTCGGAGTTTGGAGCGCTTGGGCTGTAAATGTCCGGGTAAAAGGTTGGGAGGTGTTTGAGGCTTTGCGTGCAGGGCTTGGGGTTTAGGGGTTTAGGTGGTTAGGGTTCGGATGTGCGTTCTGTTGTAGGCTCCTTTGTCGACCAGGATTGCAAGTAATAGGTCAGGTGCAGCTTCTACGCCCAAACGCCTTGAGCACAAGAATCGGTGGGTTTCGCTCTTTTGTACGGGTTTGAAGCCAGAGTCTCGAGAATAAGTATTGGCATGTCCTGAACTTCCGAACCCTGTATCCCCGACCTTCTCGGCTATGAAGTTCCACAGCCGCAACTTGATGCCGTAACAAGACGAACATGCAACATCAGAAAGTGACGACACGAAGAGCATCCCATTAGACAGCTCAGGAAATGAGTCCAACGAAGGAAACGCTTACGCAGTATAGGAGCCTCACTACCCACAGAAACACTCCCTCAGAACCGGGGCACACATCAAACTCCCAAACCCTACACTCGAAACCTCTAGAGCTGCAACCCCGCATCGTAAAGTCATCATCATCCCACAGTCCTAAACTCGAAATCCTCGCAGCTGTACGGCTAAGCCCCAAACCCTCAAACCCTAACCCCTAAGCCCCGAAACCCCCAAAACCCAAACCCCTAAACCCTTTAGGCCTCAGGCCCTGAACCTTTTAAGGCCCTAAAGTCACAGCCCTGAAACCCAAACCCTAAGCCCTAAATCCTTGCATCTCGAGAGGCTGTTGGGGATGTCCACATCAGGGTCCGAGTCGTCCACGAGATCGTCGAGCATGGCAATCACCTGCAAACCCACGCACAGTCAGAGGGTCTACTTGGTGGTTCACATGTGGTTTATAAGTATAGTTGCCTTACTTATGACCCCACTTATAACTAGCCATGAACCTCCAAGTAGGGTCAAATAACCCACCTTTTTACGGACTAACATAAGGAAATCAGGCTAAGGAATCTAAAAATTGTAGGCTATTCGGGGTCTCGGGTTTTAGGGCTTGGTCCAGAAGATGGATACCTTGATCATGAAAAAGCAATGAGCCATCTTGTACGCATGTAAACCTCTTCTGCATCCGTTACAAACCCCCCGAAGGTGCTTTCAAAGCATTCCCTGGAGGACCAAGTACGCAATAATCATATACTCTCCCATTCAGTAAGCTACATGACCTGGTTCTTGGGTCCTTTGGACCCTTGGAGATTGATCTTGGCCCACCTGCCCGAAGCCTGAGAACCTGTATCACACGGTTGAGGGCCAGGGCCTGGAAAGCTTAGGGGCTACCCTAAGGCCCCATAGTAGTTCGTTTTGGGGATTACCTTATAGGATTCTAACATATGAACGCCCAAAAAGAAATACTTTGGGGCCTTAGGTTAGACAACTTGTATACGACAGAGCCCGAACATAAATATGTAATCTTAAGGACCACACCGTGAGTAAAACCGAAACCAAAAACTTTGTTCCGTTTAAATACGCGATGATGAAACTTTATGGCGCAAGTGACGAGAAACACATTGATATGTATATGAATCGCCGTGATAACATGAATGAAGACTACGGATACATTACAAATATTCATAAAAGAGGAAATAGAAATAGGTATAATTTGTAGCAGCGAACGATTCGATAAAATTGATTTCGATATAATCGAAACGTGTAGGCGACGAGAACCAAACCACCCTATTCAATGTAGTTTCATATTATGGGAATTATGAGAATAATATATTTCATCAACGACACCTTGCCCCAGTACATGCTTATTGTTACTCGTGGGTTTAGGGCTTTTGGGTAAGCGTATTAAAGGGATTAGGTTTGGTATCTTTACGTGGGATTTTTTTTGGGGGAGGGTCAGTCATAACGGGGATTTATGGGGCAAGGTGTTTTACGAGACTTCAGGTTGAGATTCTTGGAATAGGATTTCGGGAATTTGGGCTCAGATTTTAGCCTTGTTATTTGGCATATGGGCATAACGGGGATTTGGGAATATGATTTCACGGAATTTTGGGCCAAGATTTGGGCTTCGAGTTGGCGAAATGGTTCCGTGTAAGTGGCACCTCCATGACCGTGAACTCCCCCTTGGAGAACTTTAGCCACTTCTCCTGCGTAGACGTGGGAGTAGGGCGTCAGGATAGTACGAGTTACTCGTGTTAGGGCTCGGAGCTTGCACTATCTGCAGTCTGTACCTGAACTCTCACGCATGCAGCCATAGACGTAGCTAATATCGGGGCCTGCGCAATTACAGTCTAATGGGTCCCACAAAACTATTCTAATGTCCTAGCCTTGATAGCTTGATCCGGTGCAATCCGGCATTCCGAAGCGAACGAAAATGGTCGCGGGCAAGAAGGTTCAGGGGATTGGTAGTTCCGTGGACCCTAGGAAACCTACCCTCTTAGGGTTCCTTAGCACGGTTTCATTATATAAGTCCTCAAGCAGGTACATAAGTTATGGGTGAAGGTATGGTCGGCTAAACCCGTGGCCGTAACACCAGCGGGCCCAGTACAGTCCACCCAACTCGCAGTCGTCTCCTGCTGCGCCCGCACAAAATCCACCTCGACTGCAAAGCTGCGTTTTCAAGAGTCATGCAGCTTCAAGCCCGAAACACAGGCAAAAAACCTATCCAATCTAGGGACCCTACGAAAAAATGGTTTCCGGTAGGTTTGGGTAAACCCTAAAACCCCAAAGCTCGCAAGCACCTAAGTTCTTTCGGAGCCACCGTTTGATTTCGGTGCATCAGGCCATACGTTGCTGCAACCTTCTCCTGGCGCGCCGAGTTCTCGTAGTTGCCTTGGTCGGCACACGATTGAAGGTTTAGGGATTGCTATGGGGTTTAGGGTTAAGGGTTTTCAGTCTTCAGGATTATTATTTTGGGATCCTTCGAAGAGGGCGATTGCAAAGCTGTGGTGCATAAAGTGGCAATCCGTACTCTGTTGGAGTAGGGCTTAGGAGCTTAACTCCATAGACCAGTATTTTGGCTAAAACAGGTGCTGCTACGGGCTTGTCCTCTTGTCATATAGCTTGTGGTTCACAGCACCGTGGTTGTACGTTACCAAGAACAGCTCTGCCGCAATACCAGCTTCTTCTCATGGAGAAAGGACTGCAAGAACACACCGATAAGGCCCAAAACCGATGCCCTCAAACATGCAGTAACTGTCAGGGTCGCTTGTCGATTGACATGTTGCAATGTGCAAAAGGGGGGCTGCTCCCAATCAAGCCCTTGATCTTCAAAAAAGCCTCTGAAATGCGGGCGGGTGCGGAAGCCGTCGCCGAACATGTTCTTGCCAGATAGCACCTTCGAGGCTCTTGCTTGGGCATCTAGTTAAATTTAAGTTATCCTAAGGTTCGCTTCATCATTAATCAAACGGGAAATCAAAGTGAACACATAACATAATTAACATAATCAACAGAAAGTCTAATACTGACAGATGCTTCTGAACGCATTTAACATCCTACCCCCAATAAACCAAGCGCGAAGTCCTTGTGGTACCATTGTAAGTAAGTCAAGCCCGTACATTACGCTCCACAGCAAGATCCCAGCCTTCCCTGAGGACGAGGGCGTGGTGCTCATAGTCTCATCGCCAGACCTCGTGTGGGTGTAGGGTCTAGGATTGGACAACCCGGACACTCGCATTTCCCTTCATTCCGGGCGTAGCAGGGCTGTTAGGGTCTTAAAGTGCTGACAGCCATCTTTACATGGATCCGCTTTAAGGATGGCCACAGGATCTTCTGTAACTTACATGCTCCTTGAAGGTGCGTGCTGCGCAGTTTTCTTTGCGGGTACCTCAACTGGGCGTGTTGGCAAATCCAACATAGGGGCCTGAATAGTTAGAGTAGGGTTTTGGGGCCGACGATTGTATATTATATGAGTCTAATTAAGGAACGCCAAAACAGTACTGGTAATTATTAAGGCCCCCTATAGTAACTGTAGCTGCCATAATTCCAACCCCTGAAGTTTCAACTCGAATTTAGCGGAAGTTTAGCAGCTACAAGCTGGTTCTTCGATTCGATCTGCAGCTGTCCACGACTTGAAGGCTGCCAGTGGATCGAATTCAGCTAGTCAGAGTTTGAGAGCCAGGGCACAAACATGCACGTCTTCTGTTGTCTTGGTGTCAGACTCCGTAAACTCACGACCTTAAAACCGACACCGGATTCAGAAGCTATGGAAACGCAGAATCTGCATAGCAATTGTGGGGCTTGAACAATTGGGTTTCGGGGTGTAGCCGCATAATCAGTACAGTATGAAATCTCCTTTTAAGGATCCCTCAGTTACGGAAATTATTCAGACATCAACGTTGCCGTGTAACAACCCTAAACCCTAAACGACTTACGATCCAAGACTGGAGGTTTCCTTATTTGCCAAGCTTCCTCATGTAGAGTCCTGGTTGGCAACCGTTTGAGCCCCACTGAGTTTAGGGTTTAGCCTTCTGGGTTTAGGGAGTTTTAAACATGGATTCTAACCAATACATGTGAACAGTCCATGCTAGGGAAAGAAGTGGTCGATGCCCATTCCGTCTTGGCACGTGAAGACCCTGGCCCGGAACCTCAGAAGCCTAGACGCCCTACCCAGAGGCCCCATAGTAGTTCCTTTTTGGGATTACCTTACCGACTTATAGGCTTCTATACATGAACCCCAAAAAGGACCTGCTTTGGGGCCTTTGCGTAGATCTTAAACAACCGAAACCCTGAATCTATAACACGCCGAACCGTAGCTAACACCGCGAAACTCGAAACACTAAAAGGCAGGAAGCGGAGCTCCATATTATACACGCGAAGATATCCCACCGACAAGGAGGATCTTGTTGCCCCTTCCTCGACCAAAAGCCTAAACTCCCTGAACCCTGAACCCTCCTGAACCCCAGACTCCCATAAAGAAACTGAACCTCAAAACGCCGAAACCCCATACCCCTGAGGGGGGTTTAGGGGTTTAGGGTTTTTTTTTTGGGTTTAGGGTTTAGGGGTTTAGGGGTTTAGGGTTTAGGGGTTTAGGGGTTTTGGTGCCCCCCTCTGCCTTTCTACCAAGTCCAAGCCGCCCCGCCGCAGAGAGCTTGTCGACCTCCGCAAGGTGCACCGTGCGTCGGAGCTTCCTTGCCAGGAGGAGGCTCAGGGACCGACTTTGCAGACAAATCAGCTGTTTAGGGTTTAGGGTTTAGGATTTAGGGGTATAAGACTGCCGATGATTTCTGATAAGAACGATCATTATCAAAAGTAATGGCGAACATTTTGTGTGCTTGCAAATTTGTCTGCTTACTATGCACAGAGATGAAAAGAGAGGCTTGCTGTTTGCAGAACTTGCCACTGCTGCTGCGCACTCTGATTCAAAACCGGTTAGTTTATGGCTTAAATGCAGGAACAGCAGACAACTGGAACGCAGACATCCTCACGGCCGTATTGCAGAGAAAGGAGAAGCACAGCACTGACCATGCCTGATCCCAGCCCTGTGCTTTTTCGAGCTTTCTGTGCGATAATTTACAGGCTGTTTCTAAGTATCTATTTTCAGGCTTGATGAAAGGTTCGGTATTGGGAAACTCCAAAACTTCACCAACAAGAACAAGACCCCAGCCTTTAGACACTGGACAATCAAAACATCCCCAACCCCAAACCTAAATCCTACCTTGTTTAGCCAAAGAGTCCACGAGAACTCGGCGGCCATGGTTGTGCGAACTACGCTTGGGTGCCGAAGCATCGCCACCTGCAGGGTTCTAGGTTAAAGGTCCGGGTCTGGTTCCTCAAGAGCTCTAAGTGTTCTTATCCGGGGGGTTTTAGGGCTCCAGGCTTCGCTTCAGGGACGGGATTTTTCATGTGGGCTGTACGGCTTCCGACGGGTGTCTGTAGCTTCATGGACACCGCATGACGGCTTCAAAGTAGGCTTCTGACCCTGTAGTAGCTGGGGGAACCTCCGAAACACCTACATCCCCGCCAACTTAGGGTTCTTTTGTTTTGGGTCTACTCATTACGGTATGGGATTCAGGGTTTGCGATGTAGGCATTCCGATTTCGGGCTTGGGGTTCAGGGCCCCACTCAAAGCCGCCTGCTCTGCCGCATGAGCCTCACTGCCCTGGCCGGCACGGACGAGCTCGATGAACCTTGGGCTTGTTTAATAGAGAAACCTTGGGTTTACGATGGTTTGTGGGATGCGGAAAAGCTGCAATGGCAGCTTTTTCTGCTCTGGAGCCTGGATCTCAAACTAACCTGTAAACGCCAGAGAGTACCACGACATGCTTGAAGCTGGGTGGGCAAGCAAACGTGCAACAAGTGGTGTACTAGATTTAGGTAGTGACCTAAACTCCTAAACCCTACAGCCCGAAAACCTTTTTGTCGCCCAGTAACCTCTCGCAGCCTGTATTTACAGACCTTTATGGACAGATCGTAAAGTTTAGAGTCCCGTGTAGCCCTATAAACCAGCTGACCTCTATCAATGGCCCATCACTGAAGTAGAAGAGAGGCAAAAACAGAGGTAGGTATTACCCATAAGCCCCACAGTCTTCCTTTTTGGTGTTGATATTTAGAACTCTATAAGGTAAGCCTCAAAAGAAACTACTTTGGGGTTGATATTTAGAAGTCTATCAAAAGGTAATCCCCAACAAGGAACTACTATATGGGGCCTATGGGTTTATGCCAGACAGGAACTCTGCACCCCCGAATTCCGAATCCACTACTCGAATAGGGCTTTGGGGCACATTATACTATAATTCCATAGAAGAAGCCCCAAAATAGTATAGGTAACTATTTTGGCCCCTATACCACAGACCCCTATTAAGAGTAACCCTTATAGGCCTCTTTAAAGGAACCCTAGGAACCCTTATGGTAACCGAATGCACCAGGTCCCACGCCAAAAGTCCCCACCCTAAACCCTAAAAGCCCTAAAAGCCCTAAAGCCCTAAACGCCCTAAAAGCCCTGAAAGCCCTAAAAGCCCTAAAAGCCCTAAAAGCTCTAAAAGCCCTAAAAGCCCTTAAAGCACCAAAAGCACCAAAAGCTCCAAAAGCCCTAAAAGCCCTAAAAGCCCTAAAAGCTCTAAAAGCCCTAGAAGCCCTAAAAGCTCTAGAAGCCCGAAAAGCCCTAAAAGCCCTAAAAGCTCTAAAAGCCCTAAAAGCCCTAAAAGCTCCAAAAGCCCTAAAAGCTCTAAAAGCCCTAAAAGCCCTAAAAACCCTAAAAGCACCAAACGCCTTAAAAGCCCTAAAAGCCCTAAAAGCCCCAAAAGCCCCCCACCCGAGAGAAGTTTCAACGAAGCAGCTCTGTGAGCTCGGAGCGATACGCCTGCTTGGAGGCCCAGGGCACTTGGTAAGGGTTCTTAAAGGGCTCCTTAAAAGGATCTAAAGGACTCCTTAAAGGGATCTATAGGGCTCCTTAAAGGGATCTGGGGTTTAGACTTGGAGGATCAGGGACTTGGTAAGTAGGTTATTAATAGGGTTACAAGTACCCTAAACGGAGTTACCCCAATTACAATCCTACTTATTACCTACTTACAAAGTCCCCTGGGCCTTTAAGTGGGATGGACCAAAGCACTCTACGAGATGTCCAATGCCCTGCGCTGGCTTAGCGATACAGCCGTATCTGAACCATGGAAACCCCACTCCTGATTACGAATTCTATTTGTGAGTCTTGGGAAGTTGGGGTTCGGGCAGGCCCTGAGAACCCGGCCCGACGGCCCTAACTGGCTTCTTGTTAAGGAATTTACTTCAAGTTACCAGGTTAGGGTTTAGGGTTTAGGGGCTTAGGGTTGAGGGATTTAGGTTTTAGGGGTTACCATAACAAGGATCTATAGTAAATAAGTTGGTTTCCATATTATGGTAACCTAAATCAAATCCTTTAAAAAGAACCCAGCTAACGGTCCAAAGGAGCCAACAACTCGGTTGTAGGATAATTAGTAGCTATGTAGGTTAGTAATTTGGAGAGTAGGCGATAATTCGGTACTTGGACCCTTAGGGTATGGCCTTCAAGGATTACAATGTTTCTTATTACACCAGGTTTCTGGGGCTGTAAAGCGTTGAAGGATCATCTTACGCCCCCAAATGCCTTACATCAATAGAGAGGCCCCAAGCAGACACGCACCAGCCCATAGCAGGCCTGAATGTAGCGCTGTGGGAAGCTGTACATGGCGGGTGGCCGCATGTAGCCAGCAGCATTGGCCTTTTGGGCATTTGGATTTAGGAATCTATGGGTAAGAGCCTAAAGGTCTGAACCCTTCCGTGTACAAGGCTTCAGAGCTTATGATTTCGTTTTGTTCATGGGTTTTCATGCTTTTGAGTTTAGGGGAGTGTGACTCTAACTAGTGTTGTCGGGTTTGGCAATAAACTGCGGCATGCGACCGTTATCGCTCCAGGCTTAACCAAACAGACCCTAAATAATAGGATCCTTCAGTGTACTGATCCCTAAACGTCCTAGACACAGCACCTCACGAAGAGCCTAAATTCCCACACTCTTCACCCTGGCGCCCAATCCCTATGAGCGCCTAAAATCATCCGTCACCCGAAGCCTCAAACGCAGAAGCTTCAACCCTCTCTCCGATGGGTTTCCGTAAGCAGAACCATCTACACCTGATGTCTACATTTACATGCTCGCCCCTACCTACAACGAACAACAAAAACTATCAGCGGGGGATCTTCTGGTTTCTACCAGTAGGTGTTTACTTCACCTCCTGAGGGGCTGAGCATACGAGACCAAAGAAAGTTAAGCTATTGAGATATAGTGGGGTTATATAGACCCCGAAAAGTTAAAGACACGTACTATAGGGGCCTTAAAAATTTGAATAGGGAATGAGGTTTTGGGGCCCATTCTACTATAATTATAATAAGGAGCCTCGAAAATAGTATTGGTACTTATTGACGCCCTATATTATGGTACTCTTAGACCCCTTATAGTAACCCTTACAATAGAACCCTTTAAAATTACCCTAAGAAGCCAGGTTCGCCCGTGGTCCCTATGTTAACTGTACAGACAGAGGTGCTCGTGGTGAGCTCAGGTATCAACCCGAAACTCGAGCTGTTGGCAGTCATTTAAGCAAGCCACTTCATAACCCCTAAGCCTCCTTTAAAGGGTTCTATAGGGCTTAGCATATTTATAAGGGTCTATGGTACCCAAATAGTAGATACCCTTATAGTACAGTAAACCCATTAAAGTTGGAAACCCGATTAAGGCCAAATAGTGCTGGGATTCCCTTTACATTACTCTTAAGGACTTAGGCTATAGGGTTTCCAACTGTTGCCACTTCATAACCCCTAAGCCTCAAACCCCAACCGCAAACCCTACACTCTGCCTTGCACGACATGTTGGTAATGTGTAGGGGCCTAATACTTTGGATAGGGTTTTGGGGCCCATTATACAATAATTATGACAAGGAAAACGGTATAGGTATTTATTTAGGCCCCCATGCCCTATGCTACATCCTTAGAATAGTCCTTACAGTAGCACTCATAGTAACCCCTTCAAAGGAACCCGATGTTAATAGGCTTTTGGGGAGATAAGGTTGGCCCCACACCCCTGGAACTCCTCAACTTAGCGACCCGGACCCCTTTTACTCCCAGCGTGCCAGTTCCACCGTGCTCGTGTGCTCGTTGTGGGCCGTAAGCCTCATGTATCGGGTTTAGGGCTTGTAATGTCTATTCAATTCTTTAAGGTTTGAGGACTCGCTGATAAACGTTGTTGGACAAGTGAAAGGGCCAAGGTGGCTGCACAGTGCTGTTTATGCATAAGAATTGGAACGAAGACATGGCTTTGAGGGTTTGAGGGTGTGAATTCGGCTTGTACTGCTTGGAGGTAACTATGGCCCTATGGCACAGATGCCTCGCAGCGACTTGTCTAAACACGTAACGGTAATCCCCTATCCAGCGCGAGTTATGGTATCTTTAAGGGAGGGGGGTCCAAGGGGGGTAAATAGCCTAGTGATCCCTAATTCTCCCTAGTACTCCGCAAGGTTCATGAGAGTCCCCCCAAGGATTCCTTGTACCCTCCCCCGTCCGAACCACCCTCCCTTAAGGATCCTATAAGTGAGGGTGTATAGTTTCAGGGCCTCGTAAGGCTATAGTAAGACAGGAAGACCTACTTCCAGCCGCAACCCTCTGTCCCCAACCCCAAATCCCCTCCTGAAACGCCACGCCCCTGAATCCCTAAACCCCATCAAGCCGCCAAGAACTCTAAAACCCACTGAACTCAGAACCCTAGCAACAACTATTATTTTAGCTGTTTCTTGGGGATTATAATAACCAAAAATTAAAAAATATTTCTAAGTACCCCTAAGTAAAACCCCCCATCAGGCCCCAACACCCGACATCCCGAGACCTATAGATCCCTGAGCTACGAAAGCCCGGAATCATCGTAACAGCCTCTACTAAACCCTAGACCCAAGAGTGACCTAGGAATAAAAAGGGTGCCCTTTTTGGTTTAAAGGGGCTTATAAGGGAACCTGAACCCTAAAAAAGGGAATAAGGGCCTACTCTCGGTCCTAGAACCCTGAACCCTCAACTGAGATAACCCCGGAGCTAAACGCCGTAAGATGACCCTGCAAATACCTTGATATTCGTTCCTGCGCCGTCCTGTACATCTATACGGAAATCTACGCCAAAACTTTGTGGTAGCCCCTATAAACCCTAAACCCTAAGCCCTCAGTGGACGTTGCATGCGGAGTGCGCTTCTTGAGCCCAACCATCATGTCCAAAAAACCCTGAGCCCTACCTGGAACCCTGAAGCTGCAAACTCTTGTTATAGCAACCCTGTGGAATCCTTATCGAGGCCTCAGAGGGGCCCTGCTTCCCATCCTAAACTCTATGAGTCTCCTTACAAACCCTAAACCCTAAACCCGGGGACTCTATGAGTCTCCTTACAAACCCTAAACCCTAAACCCGGGGACTCTATGAGTCTCCTTACGGCAAGGGCCAAGATTCATCCTCTTGGGCTTAGTTAGGGTTTAAAGGGAACTCCAGAAAGTTGAAATATGGTTTCAGGGTAGGATACCTTATGATTTACCATAAAGGGTTTAGGGCAATCATATTCCAACTTTCTGGCTTTTGCTTTAGGGGCAGATTTACGAATCTTATAGGACCTCTTTCCTCAACCGAGTCACATGCCCTTCTCTCCGAACACCTCGATTCGCTGATCGTAGCCGTAGGCTGCATCGCGGCTAGTGTCCACCATGGCAAGCATACCGTTCTCGTACCTAGTTTGGAGCTTCTGAACGATTTATAGGGATTACATATTGTCTCCATTGTGTTTTGTTCGCTGCCATGTCTTTATGACTACGGTCCTAACCATAGAAGTGGCCGGTCGAAGAACGGCTTTTTTGGTTTCTGAGATTGAGGGTTTCAGGTTTTGCAGGATTTAGGGGTGCACAGGGTTGCAGCCTAAACCCTAAACCCTAAACCGCAAAGCCTTTGGGCAGAGTTTCATTTATCAGCAGTCAGGGTCCTTCAAGGCTTTGTGGCTTAGGACCGTATGCTTCCGACATTCAGGCTTCAACTGGGTTGAGGGTTCAAGGTTTAGGGTAATCGGTTTAGGGTTTAGGGTTTAGGGTTTAGAGGGTTTAGAGGGTTTAGAGGGTTTAGAGGGTATAGGGTTTTTTTTTAAATGCGTGATGACCAGAGTCTGCGACCTAGGTCTGCCTTACAGGTACACGCAGGTGAGACATACATCCATATAGGGCGGAATCGTGTAATGCAGGACAAGGTCGCGGATCATGTAGACAACGAAGTGCTCAGTCCAGACTCAGCCAGTGGGCAGTCCAGGCATTTTTCAACATCCTTTGGGAAGACATCGCACAGCAATCTCCACAAGGAGTACAGGCTGGTAGTCGAGGAGTGCGTGGATGATGTTTTGACCATCCCAGTGGAGCACGTTCGGGTAGCCGTCAACGAGGGAGTCAGAGCACAACTGGTATGTTGTCGTCCAGGTAGAGCTCAACGAGGTAGGGCTCTTCATGGAGAAGTGTTTGCACATAGAGAGTCTCCATGTGGAGCAATGTCCAGTTTTGGTCCACAAAGATGCACAGGTAGATGTCAACCAAGTAGGGCACAATGTGGATGTAGTCCAGGTAGGGCATGATGTAGATGTACTCACAGAGCACGGTGTGGAGGTACACATAGAGGTCGTCCATGGGCACGAAGTGCATATAGATGTAGAAGTCACCCAGTGCATAGATGTTGTGGTTGCCACTGTCAAAGAGGATGGACGAAGAATGGACAAAGGCATCGTCCATGTAGGGCACGAGCATGTACAGATGAAGGTCGTCCAGGTAGGGCATACTGTAGATGCACTCATAGAGCACGACGTGGAGGTAGAAGTCGCCCAGCGCCTGAATGTTGAAGTTGATTTTTTCCAAGAGGACGATGGACGAGCATTGGACGAAGGCGTCATCCATGTATGACACAAAGCCGCACAGGTAGAGGTCATCCAAGTAGGGCTCGTGGTGGATGTACTCATAGAGCAAGATGGGCACGAAGATGCACACATAGATGTCGTCCAAGTAGGGCTCACTGTAGATGTACTCGTGGAGCATGATGTCATCCAAGTAGGGCTCGTGATAGGTGTACTTGTGGAGGACGATGGACACGAAGATGCCCACATAGAAGTCATCCAAGGGCTCATTGTAGATGAACTCGTGGAGCACGGAGTGGACAAAGGAGGCGTCCATTTCAATGAGACCATAAGCATAGCTTCTTCATCGGTGTTGTCCTCATCATCACCATGATCTTCTGCAGCATCAAAGTGTGTTTCCGCCCCTCCAATAGTCTCGGCATTGGTGTCAGGGCAAACTTCACCTTCAGGAGTACGATCAACTTCACCCACTCTCTCAGCATCACCAGCGGCTGCATCAGGACCACCAGCCTCACGAGCCAATCTTTGGTGGTTAGACGAACTCGCTGTGGACGTCCCCAGAGTGTTCAAAGGCCTTTCCCACCATGCCTTCAAACAAGGAACTGTCGCCCCACTGACTTCCCTCATCCACGGTGCTTGCGATGGACGAGGACGACTTCTGCTTCTGGGCACAGCATTGTTGGTATTCTCGTCGCCACTCCTACCACTTCTCCCACGAGTAGCCAAAGTGCTGTCATCGACATCACGCGACGACCCAGGGCGACCAGACAAGTCACGTCCAGCAGCAGCACGACGGTCAAGCTCAGCACGCAAGCATGCTGCAAGGAGCTGGATGGAGGGGTTGTCTGCATCATCGCCAAGTACACTCACCCAGATGCGTTGTGCATGCACATTGGCCACCCCATGGTCAACTGCTGTGTCCACATTCGGGCAGGTCCTCAAGGCCTGCGAGACACCCAACTGTAGATAGTACATGATTCGCGCCATAGCTTCCTGTTTCGCCAGCAACCTGCGCGTGATCTCACGCGCAGTTCCCGGGCTCGCTTCACGTAGGGCATGGCGCACCGCCATCTCAACACTCCAAGCTCGAACTGCATGTTCCTCAGCATCATCACGGGCAGCCTGTAGACGTTGTTCGTCAGTGTCCAAAGCTTCAAGTCCCATTGGTCCTATCCCAGCTCCCGGTACTTCTTCATCATGTGAAACAGGAATCGTCGCCCCATCATCTTCGCCATCGCCATCACCATCATGTCCTTCTTCATCTTCCAAAGCACCTTCAGTATGTCGACCATTTTCCATGAACGAGCATCATCCTCATGTTCTGGATTCGCCCGGGTCCTGGATCTTGAGCGGCTGCGACCCGTTCTACTAGTGCTCGCCCCACGTACAGGTACTCCAGGGGCGGACTCAAGCATACCCCTCTCAAAGACGTTGGCCATCAAGACGCATAGCCGATTTGTCCAAGCCACCAGTCGCGCACATACTTCAGGACTTTGTGGTTCACGACGTAGGGGATAAACATGAGCACCACGAGAACGTCCTTGACATCTGTCGGCCACAATGTCCTCAAGTGCCTCCTGCAGTCCTGCGCCATTCTGAGACTGCACAAGGAAGTGACCAAGGGCCCATCGGGCCTCGGGGCCGAGCTCTTCCAGAACCATTTCCTCATACTCGCCCATGAAGACATCGAACTCTCGAATATGATCTTGAGCAACACCTTCTCTATTCAACACCAGTCGTTCATCTGCACGGAGTCCAGGTTGTTCCATGAGCGATGAAACATCGCCTTCATCATCAACAGACTCATGATTGTATATTTCGCCCCATACAAGTTCACGTTGAGACAGTTGACCACGTTGAGGAAGTTCACCACCCTGAGGAAGTCCAGGTTGTTGCAGAAGGTCCACATTGTCGTCTTCCTCATGTTCTTCTTTGACCTTTTCTTTCATCTGCATCTCTCGTTGTTTGTCTCGTTGTTCTTTTTCTCGCCTGTACTGTCGTAGCCACGCTGGCACCCACTCACCCCGCTTCCATTCCTCCATACGAGCTGCTCGCCGTGCCTGTCGTTGCGCACCGCGTCCACCAACGTGATTTCTTTGCTCTTGTTCTGTACGCGGCCTGGGCATGAATACTCCGTGCTTGTAGAAGCCCACAGTCTGGGTGTTCATTCCATCATCACTGGCCGTCGTACTCAAACCAGATGTCGCCCCCTGTCCATGTAGTACAGAAGAAGACGAGGAGGCAGTAGGGTCACCCTGCTCTTGGTCGGCTTCATAAGGATCATGCTGAGCACGACGAGGTGGACGACGATCTCCAGAGGGAAGGTGCCAACGATCTCGACCAGCACGAAATTCACCCCAACGACGCACCAGCCCATCATCTGCATGTAGTTCTATAGGGTTTAGGGTTTAGGGTTTAGGGTTTAGGGTTTAGGGTTTATAGGGTATAGGGTTTAGGGTTTAATGCCTACTACCTGGCTGGGATGTACGGCAAGGTGAGCTTATCAGGGGCCGAAAGGCATCACATCGGGTGCAGGAGAAGTATCTAGATTGAAGCGTAACATAGTGGTTCGAGGAGTTAGGGTTCACTATGCCGGAACGTCCGAGGAGCAGTATCCCTTGGTACAGGGGTTTCTAAGTTCCAGCCTATTGGGGCAACCTTCCAGGAGCAGGAGCATGCTTGGGGAAGACGATCTGGGTTCATTCAGCACGCATGCTTCTGTACTAGCTCGACACAACCTCCACTCCTGGCTCAGGATATAACGGTATGCAACTCTTTAGAATCTTTTGCTATTGGATCCAGAGGTCGAGCTTTCAGAAAAGAACGAAAGTAGTAGCTGATCTTGAACTGAGGAGCTTGAACATCACCGCGCAGGTGTCGATGTCATTCATTTGCTGAATTTCTGGGTGGTAGCAATGCCTGAGAGCTTCGGGTTGACTTAGGGATTTAGGGTTAGGGTGAACTTCTGGGTGGTAGCAATGCCTGCGGGTTTAGGGTTCAGGGTCTAGGGGTGCCAGCAATGCCCAAGGCATGTGCCGTGGCTGGCAATTGCGCTTCAAGAGTTCGCTCAATCCTATTTCAAGTCCTTAACGACTTGTTTAGGATCCAGGGGTTCGGGGCCGCTACATTAAATCCTTATAGAAGCCCTCATAGGATCCCTGAAATGGGTAATTACTAAGCTCGCTCAGCGGTTCTTGAAGAGCCCTGCTTCGCGTGAACTCATGCTCTAAAGACTGAAACCATCCTCCCCCTTCGGGTCCTGGGGTGTGCGGCTTCAGGGTGTTGGGGCTCTTTTAGTGTTTGCTTGTTTCGGGCTTGGCCCGGGGGGGGGGGATTTGGATTTGGGTTTGGGGTGTAGGGGTTTGGGTTTAGGGGTTAGGGGTTTAGGGGATTGAAGGAGTAGAGTTTCTGTAAGATGCAGCCAGGGGTCCCGATTGCCGTGACTGACTCCGGCTCCTTGCCAGGACTCATGGCCAAGGATTTTGCACTCTCGCAGGTCTAGAGGAATTAGGATTACATACCTAGACACTCCAACTACCATAACTACCATCCACTATACCCCAAACACCTTCTATTAAGGACCATAAGGGCTGTGAGGGAGTACTTGGGGAGGTCCTGGTAAGGCGTGGGGTTTAACGTTTAGGTTTTTAGGTTTTGTGTCTAGAGTTCAAGCCCGTCAGCATCACACTGCCCAGTAAAGCGGCTTTCACGACTGCCCTGATCTACATTAAACTACGTATTCACCACGGCTCAGTTTGAAAACTGAACCCTTATAGTATTGTACAATTCCTATAAGAATGTAAGAAATCATTTGTGCCAGGAGTCCTTATCCGAAGGACCCTACCATCCGTAAACCTCTTTTTGAAGCCCTCCTTCCTCAGAACTTGAACCCTCAGTAATCTAGGGGTTGGGAATACTCAGAATATGGTGTTGGGTATACTCAACTCTATCCTAACACTGAACCCTAAGACATAGTACTGCCCATGCTTCCGAAATCGGGCGTACATATATATATATATATATACACACACACACACACACACTAGAAAGGCCCCCTGTTGCGCGTGGCTGTCTCCTCGCCGTTGGTCAAGAAGTTTAGCATGTCAAAGTCGTGAATCCTTTGCTTCGGATCCCTTGAGGTTTAGGGTTTAGGGTTTAGGGTTTAGGGGTCATATACTCTCCCAAATGGGAGTTTCTGAAAATTAGGGGTACCTTATTTCGGGGTCATTATAATAAGGATCCTACTATTTCGGGTACTATATTTTGGTCCCCTATTTGCGGAAACTCCCATATACTCTCACAGATATTGACCTACATAACTACAACCCCAAAACCGAAGTAACTGATTATTGGGCCCTTTGGACCTTCAAGAGCCAGCGTATACAGTAGGACTTCATTTTCTCAGGGCTCCGTGGTAAGCCTTAGGGCATTCGTCGCTGGGAGTTGTTGGGATTCTGGGCTGGATAAAGTCCACGGCTCCCTATAGAACCCTAAACCCTAAGCCAAAACTCTGCACATTAGAGGCCCATAGTGCTACTATAGGGGCCTTAATAATTAGAATAGGGTTCTGGGGCCCATGATTATATTACACTTATAATAAGGAACCCCCCCCCAAAAAATAGTAGTGGTATCTATCAAACCCTGAACTCCAAGGTCGGTACGGGGGAGGGGCCTTTGCACTTAGACTGGGTTTTAGGGCTTAGGTTTAGGCTTTTAAGTGTCGGCATTTTTTGGCTATTTCGTGATGATAAAGGAGATGTCACTAGCACCAGTACTATTTTCAGACCCTTATCGTAAGATACTCACACCTACATCGGGGTGGTTCGCATCAAGCCTCAAACCAAGCCTCAAACCTTTACTACTTAGTTGATGAGTACATAAGCCCCCAAAAGTGCACACTTTCAGTTTTATAGTGGGTAATATTATCTCCTAAAGCGTAAAGTGTATCCACTCAGCTACTAAGATTAGAATCGAAACAACATTACACCCTACATTTTAAAAGGGGCTTCGAGTTCAAGGGTCCAGGCTGCAAAGGGATCCTGACGGTTCAGCCAGCACCCCTCATCGTACGATGTGCAGAACGGGCGGTCTGAGTGGGAACCGCTCGCGTCGAGAATGCCGTAATGTTTCCTAGGGTTTTAACCCTATAAACCCTGAACCCTGAACCCCTAAACCATAAATCCGGGAACGGAGGTGCGACAACCACAGCCGAGGTGCAGCATGTCGTGGAAGATGCCACCGCTCGTTCGCAGGTATTCGATCCTTGGTACCATCCTTCATAAACCCTCAACCTTAACCCCTAATGGAGCCAACATCAACAAGGTCAATGACCACGACGACGACGGCGAGTCCCATGATCTTGACACATGTCATGACAGAGACAACCACTGAACCCCACCTTAACCTACCAAAACCTACTTTTTCGTAGGGCCCCTATAAATTCCATATCAGGGTTTATAATAAGAACCTACAAAATAGTCGGGTTTGGTAGCTTAAGTTTGGTAGTTTAGGGTTTAGGGTTTAGTCGGGTTTGGTGGTTTAAGTGTCGAGTAAAGCAGGCCAGCCTTCTTGCTCAGCTGCAGCCCTGTCAGCCCCAACTTCTTTTTGGTTGCTAGGGAATGGAAGGGGCCTTATAAAGGGTCTATAAGGGTTACTATCAGGGATCTATAAGGGTATAGGGCCTTAATAATCCTATGACTTACCTTTGGTTAGTAGGGAATGGAAGAATGGTAGTAATAGTGGTTATACTTGTACCCCATTCCTCCATTCCCTACTAACCAAAGGTACGCCGAACCCGACTTAATGCTTTGGTCTCAGGATGTGCATCTAGTCTCCTTTGTACTTCCTGTTTCGGCTAATTGACGATGTGTATGGTCAGGAAAGTCAGGAACAGTTAGGATCCCATGGATCCTATGATTAAACAAAACACAGGCGACAAAACATAGGCAGCAGTGCACAACAAAAACAACCTACAAAGGATATTCTGCGGAGTCGGCTTTCTCAACCCTGTGATGATGCACACAACACAGCTCTGGGGACGGGCAGGGAGGGAGGAGGTGGTCGATCAAGGGAAGTGCGCAAAGGCAATTTAGCACCTGGGGAGTGTGCCGTTGGTTTCGGTGGGCTCAGGGATCTGGAGCAGAAGAACTTCGGGTAGTCGCAATTAAATTAGTGGTTTTAGAACTTCAAGCTTACGAGTTGAGCACGTAACTTCTATCTGTGCTGGCTGGTCGCGGTGGGAGTGGGTTGTCGCGGCTGCAGGTCTTCACGACCTTCATCTTACCTGCGCGACTTTAAACCGATTCCTGACTGACTCTACATCCTGACACCTCCAATTAAGCACCATCACCTCAAAGCCTTCTAGAGAGTAGAGCACTGACAAGTTCCTGCAAATGAATGTTTGCATCAAGTTAACACATGTTCCTACAGGAGCAACGACTCCAGCCAGAACAACAAAAAGCAGCACTTAATCAAGCAGGCAGCAACCCCATCATATGCACGTTCATTCGGCTTCGACCAACTTTGCGTTGAAAGTGCAAAGGTACGTTTATGTTTTGCATATTTACATTTAGACCGAGAAGGCCAAACAATGCTGCGGAAAGAAGGAAGACTATCGAAGAAAAAGGCTTTGGGCTTGGGTTTACCGTGCAGAGATGAGGGTGCAGGACTTTGGGGCATGTTTGGTGCCCAAACTGTTTCGAAGAAAAGGGCTGTTGGCCCGAATCTTGACATTGTGCTGGCGGTCCATGAACTCAGCAATTGAGGGTTCCTATACTGAACTTAGAACCCTAGCAAAAATCATAATTTCAGCTGTTTCTTCGGGATTATAATAGCCAAGAACTAAAAATTATTTCCTAAGTACCCCTAAGGTTCAGGTTGACTGATTTGCGCTTCTGGCTTAGGACTGCCTGAAAGAAATGACTCCGATGCACAGAGACCGACAGAGACAGATATGCAGACAGAGACAGAGACAGGTGCGCAAACGCCCAAACAGACCTAACCCTTTCCAGCGCAGGTGCCGACAGCCCCCGCATCCAGCTGCTGCTTCAGCGCTCGGAAGTTGCGATCCTGCCAAAGAGTGAGGAACTCTCAAGCACTGTTAGCCCCAAAGCCTGAAGTCGTTCAGTTTATACAAGGGGACGGCCGTCCTTCGAGTAGCTTGTCTCCAAACGTCCACTCGAGACCGCTAGTGCGGACCCACGAAAAAACACACCTTTTACAACAGCAAGTCCTCCTGACGTCCTGATGCTTCGTGAACCCTTGCACTTAAAGATCATGCATAATTAATGCACATCCCACGTTCGAGTTCGCAAAACACCGTTTCCCTTACTATAAGGGTTCCTATAAAGGGTTCTATAAGGGTTCCTTTAAAGGGTTACTATATAAGGGCACTATACCGAAACCTGATGAAGCCCTGTCTGAAACCTCGAAGCTCTGAACCTCGGACCCCAAACCAGTCTAAACCCCTCGCAGAACCCTTGAAAGCCAGGCAAGCCTTGACAACGATCCTCAGGGCCTAGCGGAACCCTTGTAGAGCCCTTTAAGGGACCCTTGAAGGAAGCCCCCTTTAAGCAACCCTTAACGATCCTCAGGGCCTTGCGAACCTTTGTAGAGCCCTGTACGGAACCCTTGAAGGAAGCCCTAGGCTTCTGAACCCTAGCCTAAAAAACCCTGAAGCAGATCGCACAGCAGCGGGTCCGCTCGGCGTTGATAACCGCAAACGAACCTTCAGCGGGAGCTGCAGGTTAACTTGGGGTTCAGGGTTGAGTTTCCCAAAGGGTCCTATGTACTGTTATGGGGGATACTTCCCTAAGTCATTATAGAAATTTCTAATATGGAAACCCTACATTCTACTATATCGGTACATAAGACCCTTTGGGGTTGGGGGCTTAGGAGTTCACAAGGGTGTAGATTTCAGGGTTAGGGGGAAATCCAGCTTAAGTGTCTTAAACTTAAAACGCTTGTTCGGACACTATTCGCATCTTCTGCTGCTGGCTTCAATTATCTGCGGGTATGAAACCCCTGGAAGACTTGTCGTTGGAGAGCGCTGTGTTTAGGGTCAAGAGCTTGAACGGCTTGGGGTTGGAAGAAGGGTTTCAGGACGCCTTCGGTCGCAAATTGCTCTTTAACCTTTCAACTTAAACCATAACTAAAACCAAAGCTAAGTGTTGTTAGGGCTCACAAGGCTTGCAGGGCTTGTTTGCCGTATCTCGCTAGGCTCACCATGAGGATACTGATGTCGCCTGAGAAAGGCTCAAACATGCCTTTTCTTCTTGTGAGGCCCCCTGTACCCGCCTTTCTTCAGATTGCCCACTAGCCCGTTTATTGCAAGGGTGGTCTTTTTCCTATTGCCCCACATCAATAAGGAGTACTAAACCCTCAACTTAAACCCTACTAAACCCTGAAACCTAAACCCTAAAACCTAAACTACGACGTGTCCTATTCCAAGTCAAGAAACGGAAGATTCCGGCTCTTTGCCAGCTCCACGGCCTCGATCACCTGGCGTTGGAAAAGACTCCAAACAGCACTCAACTAAGGGGTAACATAATGGCCCAAGTAAATTGCCATTGGGGCAAGGTTCTCATTATAAACCTGGTATAAATAACCCCCCAACCCTCTTCTTGTGTTAGATGGCTGTAAGTCAACCTTGTGCGACCCATTTTTCGGAATAGAACAATTGTGCAGAACCTGAAGGACAACTTTGAAGAACCCCGAAACCCTAGAGAAGCTTCAAACCACCCTCATTCACAAGGACTGAGTAAGAACCCTTGGCCGAACAAGATAAACCACTTCAGTAGGGTCGGAATATGTCTGAACTCGTGCTAAGCTACATGTTCACTACTTGGCAACCTAAGACATGCAGAACCCTCAAAGCCTAAAGCCCAAAGATCAAGAAGAGCTCTCCTCCTGCAGCTCATGGGAAATTGGCTTCTCAGCCATGACCGCTTTGTTGGCACGGAGGGACTCCATAATGTACCTACCCAAGCCCGATCCCGAAACACAAGTTTTGAGGTAGGACGGCACCATAGTTCTGTTTCCAAGATCCCTCTACATATAGTGATAACTACAAACCGGTTTTAGGAAGGACTACACCATACGTTCGATTAAGTAAAGGTCCCATTGAGTACTTGAAAAGGCTGTAGCACTACCTCGGGAGCTCAGAGGGTCTAGAGTTAATACAGCATAGTAAAGATTAACAACGTAATGCAACACACGATGTCGTCACTATATGTCGTCATATAAATAGTACTTCTAGAATTCTTGTTCAGGTTTCATGTGGAATCCCCAAACTAAACTTCAACTAAAGAGCAATCAAGGTCACACTGGGGGACCAAGTAAGGCTGTAAGGTCTACTTCGAGTTTGGCTGTTAAAACATGTAAAATCCGTGTGTGCAGCTTAGTGAGTTCGCCATTGACCAGGATCAAATATACCGCAAAAGTCCACATGTGATTTCGGGTTATAGTACTGGTAGACTACCACAAGTCCATAACCACTCACCAATGTTCCTCCGGAGCCCTGCATACACTGATCCAAGGCAAAAACATCAACCTGTTCGATGTACTACGATCCCTAGCTTGCAGCAGCCCGGGGTAGTCGTACGGGGTTTGGGGTCTAGAGGCAGCAATGTGCCACCCTGTAGGATACGGATTCTCAGTAGCCATCACTACACCTACCCTGAAGACATGACTGCAATCCCTGCCTGCCAAGTGACTACCCTGATTGTTTAAGTCCTGACCCTGGATGGTCACGGGAAGTGAGTGTCCGTCGCAGAGGCGATGACCACTGCATCTACATCCGCGAGCGTCTCACCTGGAAGGATTCCAGGGGCTTGGTTGCTTAATGGGTTCAGTTTCTTGAGGGTTTATAGAAGTTCAGGTAATAGACGTTAATAAGCTCCTTTTTGAAGGAAGTAGACTTCTTTTTTTTGTAGACGTTTAGGGTTCAGGGTTTTAGAACTTAGTTGAGCTTTTGGTCTGGAAGTCTTCACCCCGATGGGCCGACTGGGGTTTTTGTAATGTTTGGACAACTTCTGGAGGTGTTGTCCCAAGGTGTTCAAAGGCTGTAATTAGGTGACCTAAAGCCATGTAAAACTCTTCTAGGATCCTTTAGTATAGAAACCCAAAAGACCCAGGCCCTATAGCAAAACTCATTCAACTATAAACCAAGTGGCCCAGCTTGGTGCTCCAGCGGCAGCCCTGCTCAGCTGCAATTCGCTGGGCCTGTCTTGTTTGATTTAGAACTAGACCCAAGAGTAACCTAGGAAAAAAAAGGGTGCCCTTTTTGGTTTAAAGGGGCTTATAAGGGAACCTGAACCCTAAAAAAGGGAATAAGGGCCTACTCTCGGTCCTAGAGAAGGCTGTCCCAGATAGCTTGCGAGACTTTGCATCGTCTCACAAGGCTTTCAAGTCGTTTCGGGCAAACCCGTGGCTGGGTTGTTAGTGCTTGCGTCGCGTGTCTCAGGACAGGTCTTATTGATTAGAATAGGGTGTTGGTGTGTATCATGGCACAATTCCAAGGAGTCCGGTCGCAGCTATGGGAAAGTGTAGAGCAAGTTTAACGGCTTTGCGTGATTTGGTTTCGACGGCCTTCTCCTCGTCAATGTCCACGACCCATTTAAGCTCCACCATGTGTGGCAGCTGCACCATGGACCTTGCAATAGTGCAGGTTCAGGGCTTTTGGGGCTGGGGCTTAGGCTTTTCACATTCCCAAGCAGAGAGCTAAGGGATCCGCTTGCGGTACAGTTACGGGCATAGGTTTATAGTCCTTAAATAAAAGTTCGGGTTTGAGCTACGAGTTCAAGGCTTGGAAATTAGGGTAGGGCACATGTAAGCACCACACGACGACGACCCGAGTCCAAAGCTTTAAGCCCCTGTAGGGTTTAGGGGATCAGGGTGCAGGCGGAAAACATAATAAACAAAGCTTATTTCCAGCAATATCACTATCAAAACTTCTGAAAGCAATGGTTGACACTCTTGCACCATGTTACACGGTAGAGCGACCTGTTTGCCTTCCTTTGACCAGCGAGGCAGGGCAAACATCCAGGCCAAGGGTCTGAAGGTGGAAATGGCCGGCGCGGCCAAGGCCCACCAGCGCCACGCGTGTCTTCCTAAGTATTGGTTAGGGGTTTAGGGTTTAGGGCCTAGAAGGTTTTTAGGGCCTAGGGTTTTAGGGTTTCGCGACTCAGGGTTTAGGGTTGAGGGTTTAGGGATCAAAATGCTATATGCATGGGGTTCCTTGAAACAAACTCTCAAAACCCGTAAAATGTCAAACCTAAGTCTGAGTCGTAAAATCCTGAAGCCCCATGCAGAGCCCTGCGGAGCGCTCGTAGAACCTGTATTTCGTGGTCAAGCCCGGTCAGGCTTCAAAGACTATACAATTAGTGATGCTTTCGGGCTGAATGATTCAAGGGGATGTCTGTTTTGGATTGCGAGGTTTGGGATTCTCCAGTATGACGCCCTTTGCGGGGGCCCGGATCCTTTCAAGAGCCTCATCTGCTAACATCCCTTGTGATTGGGGTCTGGGCTAACTTTCAGCCCATAGGGTACGGTTATGGGGTTGTGAGCCCCATATGGGAGTTTCCGAAAATAGGGGACCCTAGTATAGTACCCTAAATAGTAGGATCCATATTATAAGGACCCCCCAAAATAAGGTACCCCGAATTGTCGGAAACTCCACACCCTGATTGGGCTCTTTAAAGGAACCCTTATAGTACCCCGTATAGTACCCTTATAGTAGCCCTTTAAAGGGACCCTAAGTTACCCCGAATTTTCGGAAACTCCCATATCAACCCTCAGCCTTGAAGGCTCCAGTTTAGGGATCATCTTCGGTTTAGGGCTTAGGGTTTAGGGCTTATAGGGTTTAGGGTTTAGGGTTTATAGGGTTTAGGGCTTAGGGTTTATAGGGTTTAGGGTTTAGGGTTTATAGGGTTTAGGGTTTAGGGTTTATAGGGTTTAGGGTTTATAGGGTATAGGGTTTAGGGGAGTTGAGCTGCCTTTGCGGCTTTCGGGGATTGAGGTTGTCTAGAACTTGGGGGTCGGTTTCTCATCGGAGTTAGGGTGCGTTCCCCTGTACTTAGAGGATCATGGGACTTCGTAATTAGGTTAGAATCGGGGTTATAAGTCCCCTAAGTGGGGTTATCCTAATTATAACCTACTTATAACCTACTTATAACCTTTCTTACAAAGTCCCATGAGCCTTCAAGTAGGAGCTTAGGCGCGTTCCTTTGGAGCTTGGTTTGCTGCTGAGGCCGTGAGATGCCTGGGTAAGCGAAGGCTTAGACCGGATTGCCTTTGCAGAACTTAATTCTAAGGGTCCAAGTACCCAATAATCATATACTCTCCCAAATATTAACCTACACAACTACTATCCTAAACCCAAGCACCTGATTATTGGGTCCTTTGGACCCTTAGGGTAATTCTTTCCATCGTATCTAGCCGGATTTTTGCTGCAGATACCTGGTATGATAAGTTGAACTACCTAGGTTCCTGGCCCTTAAAACGAATGTAGACTCCACAAAGCCTGAACACTTAGACCGTACAAGAAACTGTAAAAAAGCTTGAATGGCTCCCTGGCCCTACTTGGAGGGTCGGGGGACTTAGTAAGTAGGTAGTAAGTAGACTTATGAGTACCCTAAAAGGGACCCTAATTGGGGTTATGGTACTTATAGCTCCGTCAAATAACCAGTTACTACTTAGTAGACTTCCTGCAAAACCTAGAGGCGTCATAAGACGGTATAAAGCCCTGGGCTTCCTTAACAAGAACCCCCACAAACCCTGAGGCCGCAAACCCTTAAACCGCGATCACTAAAAACTCTAATAACCCTAAACCCTCAAACCCCAAGGCCAAGAACCTAAACCATAAAACCCCAACCATAACCCCCTAATCCCTAAACACCCAAAACCTCAAACCCTAAAACCCTAAACCCTAGTAACAAGAGCCCAGCGAACTCTATCGATCCGACCGCTGCTTAAGATTGCTCCGAGAGTCTCGGCCGAGGTCATGCTGTCAAGCAGTCCTATGGAGGGTTTAGGGTTGCTTTAAAAGGATTCCTTCCTTTCGGGGGTTCTATACTATGGTAATGTTTTAGGGTGAAGCAATATGGGTTGAGCGTTTTGGATTGAGGGTCTAGGGCTTAAAGTTTACGGTTAGCATGGATCAAGGGCTCAGCCAAGGAGCAGGATTAGAATGAGGAGCTTAGGTTTGAGAGCTTGGGGTGGAGTGTTTCGATCTTTGAGGTCCGCTGTTTAGGGTTGAAGCCCTAGGCCGTACCCTAAAACCGTCTTAAAGCTTGAACTTCAAACCCCCCAAAAGAACTAATATAGGGTTTTTAACAAGTAGAAGCGGGTTTGGAGGTTATATTCTACCTATAGTTTCCATTGTAGTTCCTTTTTGGGGTTACCTTTTAGGATCCTTAATATAAAACTGGTTAAACCAGCAAAAGGAACTACAATGGAGACTATAGGTATATTCTACTATGACCCTCTGAAGGAACTCCGACATCCGGGGGTCACATTTGGGTTTACTTGCAGGCTCATGGGACTTAGTAAGTACGGTTATAAGTAGGTTATAATTAGGATAACCCCACTTAGGGGACTTATAACCCCGATTATAGCCTACTTACTAAGTCCCATGATCCTCCAAGTAGGGTTTAGGGTTTAGGGCTTTGGGATGCAGGTCCTGGGGAGTTCAGAGGCTACTTGGAGGTCCATGGGTAGTATAAGTGGGGTTAGCCGTAGGGTAACTATACTTATAACCCATATTCGGGGACTTATCGCCCCACTTATAGCTGGCCATGAACCTCAAGTAATCTGTTTTGTGAGAGAAATGTGCAGGTTTAAGGGTTTTGGGAAGGCGGGTTCACAAGGGGTAATGCAATGTATTTCTGGAAAGGGAGGTGGAGCAGACTGTAAGCCGACCTAAAGACTCATACCCTACCCCTTTGTGAGGGTATCTACTTTTCTATACAGCAGATCCTAACCATAAAGCTATCCTAAAGAAGGGGTAGGGTATTAGCCTCTTGGCATACTTTCAACCACCAACCCATGTTTGTCTCGAAGCCCGGAGCCCGACAAACCCAAAGCCCAACAGCAAAGCAGCTCTGAATAATCTAGGGCCTAAATAATTACCATACTATTTTTGGGGGCTCCTTATTATAGTTATAGCATAATGGGCCCCAATACCCTAGGCCAACTATTAAGGCCCCATATATTGAACACTGACGTCTCATGATCACCTCTTTAGGGCCTCTTTGCTTTGGCAATCGTCTGAAGCTCTGGGTCTTTGGGGTTTGCCCTATACAGGAAACCCTGGAATCTCTGAGCTTGAACCCTAACCCAGCCCTTCGGATTTACACCAAGACCCAAAGGTTTACAGGCTGCTGGCAAAGGGAGGGTGTCGAGTTTATGTCTTAGCTTTGAGGTTTTGGATGGTTTTAGCCTTTAGCCGTCTAGATAAACGCCGAAGTTTCAAAATCAGTGCACTTGGCTAAAAACCCATTAAGAGGGAGAAACTCAACGCACACATACACAACTATACACGCTGTAGCAAAAATAATCGAAATACGACAAATAGATACACATAGACAGGCATATGCATATGTATATGTACATGTATATGTATATGTATGTGTACATGTCTATTCACACACATATACTATTCTACACATGTATTTGTTTGATATACCCATATCTGTCTAACGAAGTTGTAAAGGCTTGTGAAACACTGCCAAACCTTCATGCAAATTAACAAACTTTGTAAGACCCTGCAAAAACCCTTCAAAACCATGAGCCCTAAGGCTCCATGTACTATAGTATAGAATAGTGTACATAGGCCTTAAAGTACCTATATAGGAAGCCCCTTTAAGGCCTAAGTATCTACTGCAACAGTACATGAAGCCTTTGGGGAGTCCAAGAGTCCCTGAGCAGGATTTAGGGTTTAGGGTTTAGGGTTTAAGGTTTAGGGTTTTAGGGTTTAAGGTTTAGGGTTTAGGGTTTAGGATTTAGGGTTTAGGGTTTAGGGCTCTAGGGTTTTAGGGTTTAGGGTTTAGGGTTTAGGGTTTAGGGTTTAGGGTCCTCCAGGCTGGTAAGACGCTGCAGGTGCAAAGGTCGATTGACGAAGAGTGCAGAACTTGAGCCACGATGCACGAGAGAGGGAAGAGAGGGTTTAAAGAATGGGGGAAGGGATCCCGATAGTAGTCGCTAAATGATCACCAATACATAGTCTCCAGAATCCATTCCCCCATTCCCTACTAAGAACCAGACAGGAGAGGGTTTGGGGTTTCAGGGGCTGATTCCTGTATTGCTAGGGAAACATACAAACCGTGACATGACATCACCCCTAGTACGCACCTGGGTGCTTAGGAATGTGGAAGTTTTGGGGTTGAACAGCCTGCTTGGGAGGCTGGTAGTGTGTCGAGTTGACAATTTAAAAACGTCTTGGAACTCAGCTCAATGATTGCCTCCTCAGAGTGCTCAGGGCGACAGGATTCAGGGCAAGGCAGTCAAATCTGTTTCCCCCCTGTGTGTCGTTTTTTCGTTGTCAGCTGCCGAGGACTTTTAGGATTTGGCCCCTTGCCGAGTTTAGGGTTGTGATGTTAAGAACTTATGCGCGAGAAGCTTAAGGCTTTTAGGTTTTGGAGTTCCTTGGGGTCAACATCTGGATTGTTGGGCTGCTCTACAACTACGGATTGCTTTTCTCGAGGCTTGAGTGAGTGTCCTATTTTACGATGAGTCGCTCGAAATTTGCAACAAAGGAATCTGCTGTAAGGTTCCCAAGCAGGTCGCTTTCCGGGTCTTGGAAAAGCGCTTGGGGCTTGAGGGTTGTGGTTTCAGCTGGTCTCCTGCAGCCCTGTACCAGTACCTTAAGCCGGAATAACCTACCTTTTTAAGGACTTATAGAAGGAAATCATAATACGGAACCCTAAAAAGGTAGGATATTCCGGCTTAAGGTATACCAATGCCAATGATCAAGTGGTTCAAACTGGAAACCTGAAGTCCTGGTCAGAATCCGGTCCTCAACACTGAAACCTTTCCGCTTCTTGGATCACAGAGCTTAGAACACGAGTTATACATCTGATCCAAAGTTTCAATAGTTGAAACTCGGTGGGGTATACTATGCAATACATACTGCACGCTCCTTTTCGATAATCCCTTCTATTAAACCCTAAACCGATAGACAGACATGAAACGTGGCTGCTACGGAACACCCAGTATGGAGCGCCGAATATCTCCGGTGATCCGTTGAGTCGACCCTGAGCCCAGCAACAACGCAGCATCCTCGCCGCTGGATGCATGGTTGGCCGGAATCAAGAAGAGGATACCTACGCATAGGGTTTAGGGTTTGGGGTTCTAGGGGCTAGGGGTTTAGGGCTCTAGGGTTTAGGGTTCGAAGACTAACAGTGCAACTGTCACTGTCGTTTCGTCATGGTGCTAGTTGAGGGCCATGGGAGCTTCTGCGCCATGGCGTGGAAGATCTCCCCACATACTGCTGGGATGAAGCCTAGATTTCAAGGTTTTCGTTTATGGCTTGAAGTAAGTATATAATGAACTCCAAACTGCAGATGATTCGCGCAAGAAGAGCTCCAAGGACTCGTCATTTTTGTCTCAATGCAGCGGCTGCAGCACAGACTGCATTAGGCTTGTCGGGAGCTTCGGTGCCCTTGCGGCTCTTCCGCCGATCTGAGAAACAGTCACGGCTTCGAGTTCACGCTTTAAGGTAAAAGGAAAGTTGGAATATGATTATCCTAACCCTTCTATGGTAAATTATAGGGTATCCTACCCTGAAACCATATTCCAACTTTCTGGAGTTCCCTTTATGGGGTTTCGGCCTGACTCAAAGTTCAGGGGTGATAAATTGGATGGGCAAAGCCCATATGGCCCATAATGTTTCACTCGAAGACGTCGCACGAGGGGCAGAAGCTCGGCTTAAAAAACGAGTGATGCAGAAGGTCTGATGGCTTAGGTCGAGAAAACCGACACCACTGGAGCATCTTCACAACTAGATCAGATGCCAAGCGATTAAACTCAGAATGATCCAGTACGAAGTTTCCGTAGCAACTCAAGGCAGCTTCCGGCTGCATGAAGGAAAGACGCTGCGTCAACTCCTCGTATGCCGCAATGATGTCTTCGTCCGAAACATAGCCTTCCTCATCGGCCTCATAATCGAACATGTGCGCTACGTCCAATAACAGCTCTGCGAAAACAATGCCTGCACTGAACGTGTCTCTGCGACGTCCGAACCTGGTTTCCCCGTAAGTGCTGTGTCCTGGCTGTGAAACCAACACTTCTGGGGCCACATAATAGGGATTGCCTCGGTAGTTGAGAGTCTGAGCCCATGAGGACAGAAGGTTCTGTCCTTGGTCAATGAGCTCATGTCGACGGACTGCCGATTCAAAGTCGATAAGCGTCAGCTTGCCACGAGTATCAAAGATCGCATTTGGCTTGGAGCCGCCTTTAATGTTGCAGTGAACAATGTCACGATTCCATAGAGCATCCAGTGCCAACAGCATCTGTCGCATATAGCTGACTATGCCACATCTGTCAGCAGGATACTTGTTGGCCCCGAGATCGGGGAACACAAATGTCAGGGTGTGCGAAGGGTCGTAGAAATGCGTCTGGATTTGCACCACATTGCTGAGGCCCCTCAGATCCGTGTAGTACAAGCTGAGCTCGTACGCTAACTGTTCATCGAGGGACCGATGCGTGGGCATCGTGTTCTCGAGATACTGTTTAAAGACAAACGGGCGGTCTCTGCACCGGCGGCGTTCTACTGAAACACTAGACTCTCTGTGGAGTTCCTTCTCCTGAACGGCATCTTCAAATTCAGATGATGGCACAGGCGATTCAGGAATTGTTGTGCTGGGACTTAGGGATACTCTGGGGCCATCCTCCACATCTTGAAGATGGCGGCATAAACCTTGGTGCACTAGTTTGGCCTTCTCTCTGGCGTCCCCATGTGGCTGAACCTTCACTTTCTGGTACGGGTCTGCACGCGCAGAAGTCCGCCAAGCCCGAACACGTTCGACTCCGTAGGCGACGTAGCCGCTCGTGTCGCCGGCGTTGTGCACGTTGATTGTGCAAGCTGTCTTGGCGCTGCCCGCGCTTGAGGCCGATGCAGAGGCTGCCGATGACATGGGGTGATGCCCAGCGCGGGCAAAGCCAGCTCGGGGTGCCAGCAAAGCATCGGAGAGGCGCAGCGTCATCAAACTGCAGGGGCCCTGCCTATCGAGATCCCCTAAAATGTCTGATGCTGCTGATCGCCAAAGGCCCGCACAGATATCACATGCAGAACTGCATGCTCTCGCCTGCGAGCTTCTTTCTAACCGTGGCTTAGCTTTCTGCGTCTGGCAGCACCGCACAAACGACCTTGTTGTTGCGCACGCAATACCATCTGAATGGAACTCCATGTATCAATCTAAAAGGTATCGCGCAGAATTTAGCAGTACCTACATCCAGCTAGAAACCTAAACTATGATTCCATGAAAGTTCCTCATCATGGATGATGCGGACTTCTGTCCATCAGCAACAAATCCCACACACCACAGCCCAGTGAACCAAGCAAGGCTCGGGACCTTACTTGCAATGTAGAAGAACCACTACTAGTAGTAGAAGTAGGTAGAAACAGAAGTAGAAGTAGAAGTAGAAGTAGAAGCAGAAGCAGTAGTAGTAGTAGTCGTCGTCGTCGTAGTAGTCGTAGTAGTCGTAGTAGTCGTAGTTGTAGGTAGTAGTCGTAGTAGGTCGTAGTAGTCGTAGTAGCCGTAGTAGTCGTAGTAGTAGTAGTAGTAGTAGTAGTAGTAGTAGTAGTTGTAGTAGTAGTAGTAGTAGTAGTAGTAGTAGTAGTAGTAACAGTAGTAGTAGTAGTAGTAGTAGTAGTAGTAGTAGTAGTAGTAGTAGTAGTAGTAGTAGTAGTAGTAGTAGTAGCAGTAGGAGTAGCAGTAGCAGTAGCAGTAGTAGTAGTAGTAGTAGTAGTAGTAGCAGTAGTAGTAGTATTTGTGGTGGTAGTAGTAGTAGTAGTAGTAGAAGTAGCAGTATCCCTTTCCGGTCCCTGTATCGTGGCAGTAAATAATACACGCATAATGCTGGATTCATCTTTGTGGCTCCTACATTGAACGATATTGACCATGGCACTTCTCAACAAGGACCGTACATCGGCCCAATCCCACGGCCCCCCACACCCACAAACCCTAAACGGCCCTGAAAACTAAGTGCCCGCGAGACCGCAGACCCTAAACGCCAAGCCGCCAAACCGACCCTTTCCAATCACCGAAGTTCTCAGGCCCCTGCGTTCCAGAACGTTGTACCCAATCAGCAGGTCGGTCACCTGGGCTCTTGGGGTTTAGGGTTGAGGGTTTGGGGTTTAGGGTTACAACAACCGAAGCCAAAGGGGTTGGTTGCTACACCCTCGCGTAAGGCAAGTCACGCTATGCTGCTATACGTGTAAACTAAGTAGGTAACGTAGGGTTTGGGGCTTGTTTAGGGTTTAGGGTTTAGGGTTGCTGCTACAGCATTGCGTAGAAGGCAAGAACCATGGTTCAGGGTTTAAGATTTCCCGCTCAGGCTGGACATCATTGCATTAACTTTTTGGAAGTCGCAGTTCGAGCTTAGCCTAGACTCACTGAAACCGGAGCCAAACTTGAGCAACCTAGGCCTTGAGACTTTGAGTTTAGGGCTCGGGGTGACTACAGAGTGTGGAGTGGTCGCAGGTTGCATGATCCCTAGAACAACACTGACAACTCCTAAACTCCCAAGCCCTGCAACCTAAACCCTCAACACTACACCATCGATTCAGCATTGTTGAGGATCCCAAGCAACGCTGCCATGGAGACTGGTAGGTTGAGGGTGTAGCTTCCGAGTTGGGAGGATTTGTTTGCAGCGTTAGTTTAGTACATCCTTTGTAAGTGCAGAGGCATGTAGATGAACAAAAACATGTATTCATGTTCGTTGACACTCGGCTTTGCAGACAAAGTTGCCACGATGGCCAGAAGCGCCAAGTACAGCGCAGACCTGCGTCAACAGGGATGAATTACTATGCAGAGGACTCTCGAAATGCAACATGGTTTACAACAACACCTATGTATTTATGGTTGGGGGCTTGCTCCAGACTGAAGAGTACGTGATCTTCAAGCCTGTAGTTTAGGTCCTGTTTACGGGAAGCTTGATGAACCCTCTGTCTGTGCAACATCGGTCGCTATAGTTATAGGGCAGATCTGTAATGTGAACATAGTTAGTTCTGGTCCTGCATTTTCCTAGCATCTCTCTAGCTCCCCCATGAAGTTTCAAGTTGGCTAGCCCAAGCTTCGGGGACTTGAGGAAATACCTTCATCCTTGGGAGAGCCGGCAGACTTTAAGTCCTGCAGGCCCTACACCCCGAAACTTGCTTTTGTGTTGACTCCTCTGATTCCACGCGGTCGTCTACGAAAGGTCGATTGGCCAGGAGAGGGTGGAACACACTGTACGCCACCCTAAAACTTCAAAGGCTCGGATAACTGTCAGCTGTAGGCACGTTGTCTTTGATATGGGGCTCTTAGGTTTTCGGGCTTTCGGGTTTATGTTTCTCGCTTCTTGGGATTTGCTGGTAGTTGTCGTGAGCCTTATCGGGCTTAAGATCTTGGTGCTTAGAATACAAAAGGGGGCTGGGAGCACCTGGCAGATACGTGTTGTCCAGTCTAAGGCCCGCTTTAGAGGCCCATGCGACAGAACTAATATTTATAGTGTACCCTGCTGAGGTAGAATTGTGTCAAGTCCTGAAGCCAGAACTAGGAAATATTTGGAGCTTGTGACAGAGGAAGATGTACTGTCTCGTATGGTTTCTTTATTATGCTGGGCATGTAAAGCCACTGAATAACGTAACATATGGCATAATTAGGTTATATGCACAATAGAATCCCACTGCAGCCAGGGAAAAGCGGCGACAGCACCCGCAATCCCCATTCAATTCTCAATCCTGCAACAGTAAATGACATAAATCTTCACGGGCCCGCCTCATAGGAGGGATAAAGAGTCCCAACCCCTGAAAAAAGCAGAGAGTGACTACGTCAAGGGGTAATCACTAGGTGAAGTGGTACCTACAAAAGCTACTCAGAGCTAGAATAGCTACCTTAAGGTCAGTCAGTCGATAGCCTCCACCCTAAACCCGACTTGATGCCGCTATACCTACAGATCCGTCTGTTGGTATTGTCGCGCTGGGGCTTTACGGCCAAACTCGGCTCATACGGCTCTGTACAGATTCCTGAAACGGGTTCTACCAGGGCTTTTCCTAGGGCTTATGTGGGCTGAAAACGATGCCTCAATACTCAGACCAGGGTGTTGGGGTAGGTACACTTAGGCCTAGGCTTAAATTAACACCCTGAGGAACAGTAGTGCTAATGCTTTTCGAGGGTGTGGTCAGAAGCTTTCAGATCCTTTTGCTCAACTTCTGGGGTAAAGTGCGAAGGATCTACTTGGAGTTGTAGCCACAGGTCCTACACCCCAGAAAAATCAAATTCCTGTCAAAATAATTACGAGAACGAGAACCGGGTTCTATTTATTTGGCAGCTGGAGAGGCATGAACCCGGCGAGGAGGTCTGGGTGTTGAAAGGTTGTGAGAGCCACGCACACTCAACCCCAAACCACCCGAGCCGATACGGTGAACACCCTAGACTCGAGACAAGATAAACACCCTAGACTCTGGCCCTAGTTGATGGGTTTCTGTAGCGTTTTGGGCTCGTTTTGGTCTCCGGGGTGATTGCTGGTTGTTTCGGTTATACTCGAGACGTTCTAGCATGCAACTCAACTTGCTAGCCAAAAGCCTGAGCCCTGAAGCCAAAGTATGGAACCCCTTGACCCTTTAACCACGGATCGGCATCATTAGAGATACTACACCCCTACTATGAGACTGGTATCTATATAGTTACACTCTTCAATAAATATCTCAGAACGCCATCCTAAGTAAACACCAGTAGCGGAATCTACTATAACATCATCCTTCGAGGCCGCATCACAATCTTAAAGGGTCCAAAGTATCGATATAGTAGGTTGCAGGGTTTCTATATAATTAGGAATTTCCGTTATGATTTGGGGAAGTATTCCCCATAACATACATAGGACCCTTTGGGAATAGAGGCAGACTCAAAGGCTGAGGGGCACACGGACCATGCCAGACAAGCCACGCGCACCTCCATCTGGCTGCTTCTCAGCTACATCGGGTCCTGTGAAAAGAAACCTCACGAGACACCAAGAGAACCCTACCTAAACGCACCTTCAAGTCGTTGGGTCGGTGAGCTTTCTTTGAAGGGCTTACTGCGCCGAGTTTAGGATTCCGCATCAAACTTGCAGCTCTACCCCTGAGGGTCCGTGTACCCAAATAGTATATACTTTGGCCCCACAGTACCGAAATAGGAGCTACTTTAAGGCCAAAGTGCGTAGTATTTGGGCACACGGACCCTTAGGGTTCGGGGGCAAAGACATATGGTCCTAAATAGTGGTCATTTGCGGTATAATTGAGGGTAGTAGGGGGGTCTAGGTAGCTGCGGTGTTGAATAGGGTTCAGGCAGTTTCAAACCTTATTCAAGTTATTGGGGGCCATGGACAGGCTTTGGCAACTTCTCTGGATACCCTAACTCCTACTTGGAGGTTCATGGGTAGTTATAAGTGGGGTTATAAGTAGGGAAAAATATACCTATAACCCAAATTAGGGGACTTTATATCCCCACTTCTAACTACCCATGAACCTCAAAGTAAACCATACAACACCTTTACAGGATCTCGGAGCCGCAGAGGCAAGGGGCTTTTAAAAGTCCGTAAAAGGCTCCTTCCGGGGTACAGGTTGTATAAGGCTGGGCTCTTCTATACAGGGTCCCCAACGACTCTATGATGTAGGGGATTCAAGAAACTGCCTCACTGCTCCCGAAGCGCTGCTGGTTAAACCCCGATCGACGCATAGGTTGTGCCCGGGGAAGTGACTTTACTTGGAAACGGCCCTCACCCACCGGAAAACCCCATATTTGGGAGTTTCCGAAAATAGGGGACCCTAATATAGTACCCCAAATATTTGGATCCTTATTATAAGGACCCCAAATAAGGTACCCCTAATGTTCGGAAAGACCCCATATTTCGGTTTGGGCCCTGAATCAGCCGTTGAGCCCGACAGTAACCCTGATAGCGCCCTTATAGCATCTTATAGCACCGTCCCCAAGGGTCCAAGTACCAAATACTCATATTAACTCTCCAAACTCCTAACCTACATAACTACTATCCTCAAACCAAGTAATTACCTGATTCGTGGGTCCTTTGGGGCCCCCGAGGTTTAAGGATCCCTGACTAGAACCCTATCACAAAGGGTCCTATGTACTGTTATGGGGAATACTTCCCCAAATCATAATGGAAATTCCTAATATAGAAACCCTACAATCTACTTTATCGATACTTT